ATTTGAAGATACATTGCGGGTTCCAGTAAACGTTCAACCAAGCCTCTTTCGTTACTTTTCACTAAGATATTGACAGTAAGGAAAAAGTTCTGTGCAACAACATATTCAAGAAGTGGTGTGAATCAGATGTGGATGCTCAAAAATTCCAAAGAACTTTTGGACAATTTGAAAACTCAAGATTTTACCAAAATCAACAGCTTAAAAACTTACGACTTTTCAACTTATATACAACCATTCCCCACGATAAATAAAAGTTCAGGCTTTTTAATATCATTGACAGCTGCTTTTTTAAAATAAAAATGGAACTCGTAAATTTACTTACCTGGTCATTGGTCATTTGCAAAATTAGTTTGTAAAAACACATTCTGATTGCACACACAAGTACTCTGAAGTTGACATCAAAGAGATGCTTGAGTTTCTGATTGACAATATCTATGTGGTTTTTGGAGACCAGGTCTTCCAACAATTTATTGGAATTCCCATGGGTACCATTGCGCTCCGTTTTAAGCAGACCTTATTTCATATTCATATGAAGCAGAATATGTACAAAATCTTATGCGTGAAAAGAAGAAAACACTTACTGTGGCCTTCAACTCGACATTAATATACTGTAAACCAACTGCGAGAAATTTTCGCGAAGTTCGCGAGAGTCTTGTCATCGCGAATATTTCTCGCCGCGAACCGGTCCTTAAAGTGTATGTGTTTATTAACAACAGATCCAAAAAGGCTTGATCGCGAAAATAAGCATAGTATATCCCTTGTAAATCGCGAAATAAAGTCGTCGCGAATAAAAGTTGGTTTACAGTATATCGACGACGTATTGTCAATTAACAATGGTTATTTCCTTTCCTACGTCGATACGATATATCCTGGTGAGCTTGAGATAAAAAAAAATACCACAGAGTCTGACCCATCTGTTTCATACTTGGATATTTTACTTGAAAAAGATGTTAATCTAACAACCAAGCTCTATGAAAAACGTGATGACTTTAACTTTTCTATCGTCAACTTCCGTTACTTATGCAGCAATAAACCTTCATCATCTGCATTCGGAGTATATATACATATCTCAGTTGATTCGATACGCAAGAGCATGCTATACGTATGAACAGTTTCTAAAACAATGTAAATTATTGACAAACAAGTTGATGAAACAAAAATATCAGCAGTCTCGTTTAAAGTCATTATTTCGTAAGTTCTATGGTCGATACAATGACCTTGTCAGCAGATACAATTTATCATTGAGTCAAATGCTGACTGAAGTTTTTCATACTAATTGTTAGTCCATTATTTATACAATGAATTGACGACGGATTTTCCGTTATTTCCCGATCATGACAAGGAGCACACAGCAGGTGTGACCGTTCAGCAGGGGATGCTCACTCCTCCATGGCACCTGATCCCATCTCTGATGTTTTGGAAGTCCGTGTTTGCTAAGCTCCTATTTTGTATTGTTTAATGGACTTTGATATTGAATACTGTTCGTTATCTCCATATCCTTTTTACGGATTTTCTGTATTACGGACTATGAGAAGGCACAGACGGCGTTTCGAGGACATGGCCGTTGTGATGGTTCGACAGGGGATGTTTACTCCTCCTTGGAACCTGATCCAATTTCTGTTTTATTTCTAGAGACTCATGTTTCCCATATTATTCTTTCAACAATCTTTTAAGCTTGATTACTTTTCGATGTCTTCATAAATCAATATATTCGTTTTTCTTCTTGAAAAATAATTGTCCATAAATTGTTTCAACTTTTGTCAAATTATATCCCCAAAGTCTTTTTCTTTTAAAAGATATCAAAATTCAAAAGTTAAAAAAATAATTTTTGTTAGGTCACACAAAAAATAATCCTATGTTGATCATTGTTGATATCGCATGAAATCACTTTCGAAAAATTAAATTTATCGCTTACATGTTTATTTCATGAAGAACAAACCCGAGCATTTTTTTCACAACAAAGTACATATATTACCTGTACACGGTTCACTTTAAAAAATCATTTAAAATATCTGATTTTTCCTTTATTCTTTAAATATGCATATTAATGTAAAAGTTACTACGGATTATATTCAATTAATTTCTTAATTTTGAAAAGATGTATTATGACTAAGGCTTCTAATAATAAAGAAAAAATTCGGGTTTGAAAATCTTCATTATTAAATATATTAAACTTATTTTTTTTTCAAAATTGACTTCACAACAGTTTAACTTCCGTCAGGAACTACTGTTTGTCAATAAGGTTTTTGATCTGCGTTTTCCATGTAAGGATTGTTGTAATAAACTATTAAATTAATCTTATAATATATTTTTATATATAGTATCTATGTAATGACGTACTTTTATTGTGTAAGATAATATGTGCCTGTTTCGGGTTAAGCGGCTTTAAGCTTTCCCTGTTGATCAGTTACATCCACCATATGCTCCATGTATTGACCAAGAAGACAGAACATCCCGTAGTCAAATTGTTAAATAAACAAAACAAAACAAAGGTCTAACAATTATTTTAATATTTTGTTTATTAAAACGGTGCAATTGAACAATCCATGCACATAAAACAATATTAAGTAATATTATATACTTGTAGTTATATTCAACTATCATGGTGTTAATGTCTCCAACTTATTCGCCACTCAAGAGCTCGCTCTGAGTACGATCGATTTTTAAAGCGAGGCTAGCTACTCACTGATAAGTTCATGTTACAGGGATTTCAACAGCCTCGTTAAAAGTCAGTATTTTGTATATTTTATGGACGCTATAATGACCTCGTTAGCACTCCTATCCTATCCCTGGGTTGTATTTTTGCGGACTTGTTTCATACCGGTTGTTAGGCCTTTGTTTTTATATTGAATTGGCTACGGACAGTAGCTACCTACAAATACAAGGTTTCACGGCGGATGTGAACGGTCAATAGAATATGTGTACTCCTCCTAGAAACCTGAACAAACTCTGGAACTTCCTTGGGTCCTTGATTCATGCCCTTTTCACATAAATGTATTGTTCATGGATTAATTTTAGATCGGTCACTGTTCGTTATCTCTACTTTTTACACACGGGCAAACTCTACTTGTACCAGCTAAAGAAGGTCCCGCATTCACTTTATATAATTATTTCTGGTGAGTGAAATAATCCCATTGAAGAGTAAGTATTTCTGTCAACTGGTTACACTATTGGTGACATCCGTTCAATATTTTTCCAAACCAATCCTACACTGGCAAAAAAGATCATTGAATCGACTGCAGAGATTGCAAAAATGATGAATCAATATAGATTGTTCAGACACATATATTAAAACTTATTTGATACTAGCCTGTTTCGGTGTAGAAATTGTTATTCTGTTCTTATTTTTTTTTAATGAAATATGGACATAAAGGACAATATTGGAGCTCAAAAGTCCACTATAAGGCAATGCAAATCGGTAGAAGAGCACAAACCTCTTAAAACATCAGAGGTGGGATCAAGTACGAAATATACACATGGATTCCATATACATGTACAGGAGATAATATAGTATATGGCTATAGAACATTGATATTTAAACAATAATACACACCCTTTTCCAAATAAAATCACATAAATCAGCCCCAGACAACAAATTAATTACATTTATATCAGCTAGAGGACAAAAGGCCGCGGGCTGATATTGGTCGAGAACTAATATTGGATATGATGGTGGCATACTTCTGCTCCCTTTATGCAAGCTAGCCCTATTTATCTAAAGATTGTTTTCATGCAAAACGTCGCCTTTGTAAATACAAAATGTATAAAATATTTTTCTGGTAAACAACAAACCATATTCACTCCATTATTGTGTTCACTCCTCCATGGCACCTAATCCAGTCCCTGATGTTTAGGTCCGTCCTTGCTCTGCTCCTGATTATCACTATTGTTAGAATGGACTTTTGAGCTTGATTACTGGTCGTTATCGACATATTTTTCATAATAAGATATAATATGGAAATGGGTTTGTTTTATTGAATACTTGGTATGAAAAAAAGAGCACATGCCTACTTTTAAAACAAATACAGATAAGTCATCACTAACTTGTATATCAAATAAAATGTTTTGTTTGTTGTTAAACGTCTATTCTGGAAATTTTTCACTTGTATGTAGACGCTATCATGGAGGGGTCATATGCAAACTATCGTTTTCTTTCTTTTTTGTTTATAAATTTTGCAAAAATCTAATTCTGGAACCGAGGCCCCAATAAGGAGTGTGGGGTGGGGGAAATAAAGTTTGTTGTTTCTGAATAAATTCTGATTTGAAAGATTTAAAAACGAGTATGTTAATATGGGGAAAAGATGGGAAATCTTGCCTTGGTTTTCAATGCTTACATATATTTTTTCAATGATTAACTCCAAAATATTCTAGATCCTATTACATATGTAAGCTTTGCCATTTTGTTTTTAGATATCTATTAAATGTCTTTGGGTTTTTAGATATCCAAACTGATTTACTATTCACAAAATTCCTTGAATTTATCTACAAGTGTGTTGAATTATTTTTAAAAGTGTATCCACTCAAAGAATGAACATTCATTTCACTTTGTATTAATGACGATCAAAAAAATTAAAATTCAAATTTGCGTGAAGGAAACAAGCAATGGAATATACATTGAAATTTTAAGTATAGCAATTTTCTTGGAAATCACCAATTAGAAGGCTGATTCATTGAAGGATTAGTTAAAATTGGGTCTTTTAGGAAGAAACGTGTCCAAATTCTGGAGAAAATCAGTTAAATCGTATCGCATGCATGTTTGACCTAAGATATCCATGTTGAAACATGCAGGAACACGAAAATAAACATTCAGTCCTACTCTAATGAAACCTCAACAATATGTCTTATTAATCTTTTTCAGTATCCTTTGATATGGCTAACTGTCACTCGTGTAAATTTTCACACTAAGGATGTTGGACATTATGTAATTGATGTGATCCTGCATAGCTCATGATGCAACAAATTTGTATAAAAAGAGCCACGAAGTGCCAATATCGTAACAATCTCTTTAGGAACCGGCTGGCTCTTCCAGAAAGGTAAATTTTAAATCATTTACATCAAAGAGTTTTGATCTAAGTTCTTTTTAATTTTTAAGGGGGCTGACTATAGTTTCCATTGCGCAATATTTCGCGCATCATAGTAAAATGAAGCGTATTTATTGTTTTAATGCAACTTTTTTGCTTAATTATCAAAATTAAAACAAAAGTAAGAAATTATAGGTATAAAAATGTTATTACAATTTGATATAACTGATTTTTTAATCGATTTTGCAATTGATAGGTAGGTTGACGTCGCTGCAGTGTCTTTTTGACGTTATGATAATCTGAAGCTCTTAAAGAAAGGGGTAATAAAAATATTATTACAGAAAAAGTAATAAACATACGCTCTTGAAATTTAAAACATGGAAATTTTAGAATATGTCCAAGATTTTTATTACGTTTTCTTGTGAATCAATTGTTTACGTCATATTTTGTTGTACTCTATAAAAATAGTAAAATTTGCTAATTCTTTTGCATTTTGGGATGCCCCCTCTCTTAACAAGACGGTAGAATTTTCTGTTTCTTACATATATTGTGTAATAAAGTATTACTCATCAAATATTATAGTTTGAACAAAATGTCTATTGTAGTATTAGTATAATTTGCTTTAAAGTGCTAACAATTGGCATTTTCCTATTTAATCCCATAGTAAATGTACCTGTTTTTTGAGATGGTCCCTCAAAAATACCTGGAGGGTAAATTCTCCCCAAACTTTGCATGTACACTGATGTTAATGTAAATTATATATGGTATAAAAATGAAGAGTTTCCCTATTGTAGTTTTCACACAATAAAACTATAGTCGCCCCCCTTAAATATTCAAATTAACTGAAGAAAACAATGGGAATGTCAATAAAGAAAAAAAATGAATTTAAATGAATTTAAAGAATTTCTGAAGTAAGTTCCGCGGTTCCTTTAACAACTGTATAAAAGTATATCTATTAATTCTAACGAGATGAATGGCAAATTTTGATATCTTATTTTCAATATTAATGTTAATATTAAACGGTCTTTTAAAAAAGTATGAAAATAACATTCCCATTTTAAAAATTCAAATGTTAAGTCTTCAAGTACTGGTATTTTTCAACGAGATGACTGGTTAATCTAAATTCATTTCCATTAATTGTATGTAATTATGCCCTTACTATCTTTCTTGGGGGGGATGTGATTTTCGAATTATTTGTGAAAAAACAAAGCACTTTTATTAACATTTTTCAATGTTTCAGGTGAAATGATTCTGAAGGTAGGATTGTTAGTTGTCCTTCCCCTTGTATTGGGGATCATACCACCAGGATCCAGATATGGATCCAGCGGCAACGGAGGTAATGGAGGCATTCCAAACTCTGGGATGAACACAGCATCTCCAGGCAACACAATCAGAATGCCTGCACCAAACAATATGAATGCTTCACCGAATTCAAACAACAATAGAAATATTGGGGGAAACATGAGACCAGGAGGACGTTTCCCTGGAAATGACCTTCCTTATCGTATGTTGATCTTAAACCCTTACATTTATAATTTTTCTTTTTGCCATTGTATTCAAAATAATTAAATTTGAGGGATGTATTCTATATATCTCTATATTTTTTCATCAATGCATGCTTTAATCGGTCATGTTAGAAGATTTTAAGTAGAATCTGTTTTAATCAACAGAGTGCACCATGTACAGCGACGCCGGTTATTTCTGTCCTTGGGGTTACCCTAGCCCAGGTACAAGATACTTTTTCAATACATACTCCGGACGTTGTGAAAGCTTCTACTACCTTGGTTGCGGAGGCAACCTTAACAGCTATTCCTCTCGCGAAGATTGCATCAGATCCTGTGCATGCTTCACCTACGCTGATTACGGAAACTATCCTTGTTATTATGGAAGCACTCGCCGGTGGTATTTTAACAAATACTCAGGAACCTGTCAACAATTTTATTTCAGTGGATGTAATGGTGGAAATGACAACAACTTCCGAAGCCAGTTAGAGTGCCAGTCTGCTTGTGGACCAGCACCTTGTGATGGACCATGGTGTGGAGGTATGATTGCAATGGGAAACAGAAGGCAAGGAGGACAGGCAGCTGCCCAAATAGCTAATGCAAATACTAGAGCACAGGCACCTGCCCCAGCCATAGCTAACCAACCTGGAATTAATGTAATGCCTGCCATCGCTCAACCCAATATTGCTATGCCAACCAACAACAAGGGTTCATCAGGCGCAAACACAATGACTATCGATATGACAAATAACATGGCCGACGGAAACAACAATGGAATGGACATGAACGCATTTGCTAAAATGGCCTCTTCTGCTATGAATCAAAATTCCAATGCAAATGCAATGAGCATGGTCTATCCTACCTCGAATCAAATGAATTCTGGAAAAACCATGTACATTTAAAAACCAATTATAAAAAAAAATCACACTTTTAAAACATTTTGAATAAAGTCTTTTTTCAATATAGTGTTTCGCTTTAAAATTTTCTTTATCAATTTATTATTAAATACGATATTTAACTCCGGAAATGACATAGTTAAGACTTTTTACCACCATTTCTTATTGTGATATACAAAATATTTTTATATCACTTGGTGGGATTTCTTAGCAGAGTCCCAGGGTTTTATATTAAACTCACAAACCTCTCCACTTCTAAAGATATGAAGTACTAAAACTCGGAATCCTATGGGCGAATGGTGGGATTTTAAATCCTAGCAACTATTCCACCATTCTCCCATAGGAAAAAAATTTCAGATGGGATATTTTCTCCCATTAGGATTTTTTTCTCCCACAAATTTGTTCAAATGGGATAAATCCCACGAATATTGAAAATCAAACAATTTCTCCCATACATTGTGAAACATGGAATATATCCCATAAATTATGAAAATGACAAATCTCTCATCATAATATTTAGAATATATTCCAACTATAACAATGTATTGGAGAAAATAATGCATTGTCAATATCCGTGGGGTTAATCCCATTTGAACAAATTTGTGGGAGAAAAAATCCCCTAGGACAAAATATCCCATCTGACATTTTTTGTTCCATGGGAGAAACGTGGGATAGTTGATGGGACTGAAAATCCAATCATTCTCCCATGGGATTCTGAGTTTTAGTACTTCATATCTTTAGAAGTGCAGATGTTAGTAAGTTCAACATGAGATCCTGGAATACTGCTAAGAATTCCCATCAAGTGATATAAAAATATTTTGATACCATAAATAGAAATGGTAGCAAAAAGTCTGGACTATGTCGTGTCCATAGTTAAATGTCGTACTTTAAAATATTTTTAAGATGTTGGATGCAAAGAAGGAAACGCTTCTTTGATCTTTGAATGGAACACTGATCCCAAAATAATGATCTAAAGAAACTTTCGTTAAATTGTAAATCTTTTTAGTTCTCCAATTTTGAATTCTCAGTGTTCTCTCCTTGCATTCTTGGAAAATTCCTTCTTTCAAAACCATTATTTTGTTAGAAAATCTACAACTAAAAATCTAAGAAAAAAAAAAAAAAAACAAAAAAAAAAAAAAAACAAACAAACAAACAAACAAACAAAAACAAAATCAAAATCAAAAAAAAAAACAAAAAAAAAAAACTAAAAACTAAAAGACAGTCTAGTGTAATCTTTATAATTTGCGTTGGTGCAAAAAAAAAAATTCTAATGAATTTGGAGTGTTTATATTCTTGTTTTATCAACTTGTTTGTCAATGCTTTACCCGCTTTTAACAATAATTGTTCATACCTAAAGCATGCTCTCGCGTAACGAATCAGCTGAGAGATACGAATCCCGTTTGCAGGTGATGAGGTTATACTGTTGCATAAGTAAGGAAAGCTGATGATTGATAAGTTAAAGTCATCACTTTTATCATAAAGATTGAATGTTCGATTACCATTAACGTCTTTTTCAAGTAAAATATTCAAATATGAAACAGAAGTGTCAAACTCTGTAGTACCTTTTTTCAAACTCACCGTAATATATCGTATCGACATAAGAATGGAAACAATCATTGTTATCGGTAATTGACATCACGTCGTCGATGTATCTGAATGTTAAGTTGAAGGCCACAGCAAGTGTTTTCTTTACACATATAAGATTTTTGGACAAATTCTGCTTCATATGAATACAAAAATGGGTCTGCTTATAACGGGGTGCAATTGGTACCCGTGAGAATTCCAATGGATTGTTGGAAGACTAGGTCTCCAAAAACGACATACATGTAGATATTGTCAATGAAAAACTGTTATTTAGATTCTGTTTGCCTATACATAGGTAATTGAAAATGCTAAAAAATATCACTGAATTCACAAAGTAAACATGCGTTTTATGCATTCTTAAAGTTTGTTTGAATGTGCTGGTTATGAAGTATTGGTAGTGATCTGTATTTAAGTCTCTTAAACGTGTTTGTTTGTTGTTTAAAGTCCCTTTCGAGAGTTTTTCACTCATACGGAGATGCCATCACTTGCCGGTGGTGAGCTGCAAATTTTGAACTATACTCTGCACATCGGGCCATTGAGCAGCGAGGGATTTGCCAACACATATACGGCAATAAGGAATCTTGTCATAATTAATCTGAATAAATGATTTTGAGAAACTAGATATGTTAAAAGATACGTTCAAATCCCTTAGATTTTAGTAGTGGGCACTAATCGAAATGTAGGTGTGGTCTTGGATGAGAAGGGCACCAGAATGTGCAATTTTCTAAGAAGTTTGAAAGATAAGAACAAGGTACATTTCAATACAAATCTTGACCTGTATTTTTCTAAAATTTGAAGTGATATAAAATACTAAAATTCATCCTTTCTGAATAGGCAGTAAAAAATGCACAATTCATTTTTCTTAAATGCTAATTATGACGCCAGGAACTTGTGCATTTTCCAGTATTATCTTTTGAAGTTGCAGAAGACATCCATTTTCAGTGGAATTTTCTATCAGAAAACATACAGTGAATGCGTCGCCCACAAAGATTTTGAGATATTTAATTTTTCAGAGCATTTTATACGATATATCAAAATTTTGAAGTGTGTAACGGTTGCACTATTTTCTAAAGGAAAAAAAGCACAGAATTGAGAGAAATGAGACATTTTGAAGCTATTCTGCATAAAACTTAAAAATTCACCAAATAAATTAATGACGTTATAAATCCAGAATGGACATCCTTTGTGCCATATTATTGAATGATCTATCATATTCATCTACTTTACTCTTGTTAAAGCCAATTTCAATAATTTTAAGAACATGAATTTATTAGGACACAATAAAGCCCGAACTGTACCTATTCTTTATAGTATACACTGTCATCATCAAAAAGGAAGTTAAAATAACAGACAATAGCCATGATAGCCCTACAATTTTATCCTCGACCATCAACACCTACAATCTTTGTAGACCTAGAACTCCATTTTTAAGTCTAAATGACTTTTCTAGTCGTCGAAGTACAGACCCACTGTGAAGCCTGGACAACATATCATGAAATAAAGTCTCTATAGTATTGACAATTGGACAAAGTTCAGAGAGAGGAATTTCTTCCAGATATGAGCGGATTAGACGATGGTGATGGTAAAAGTAGCTATTTCAACAAGTATAACAAGTATTTAAGGATTCACTTTTATGATTTACTTCAGCAAGTGTTTTTTTTTTTATATAAGTAATAAGATCGATTTTTTTTTTTGGTCAATCAGATGTCCCTTTTTGAGGAAAGAAGACAAATACCAAAGCGACATACTGTATTACAGCAGATAAATAATCTTTAGAGTTATGTTGTTTTCTCGAAAGTATGGATTGCTGGACGCAAGTTATCATCAGTGTCGTCAAAACTATCGTTCTTGCAATCAACATAGAACAAATAACGTTTGCGTTGTAGTTGTTGGTTTTTACTCGGTTTCTTATTATTATTATTAAGGTCTTCCGTCTTCACGGAAGACCTTATAGTGATTCTACTGTTTCTTATTATTATTATTATTATTTTTTTTCCCAAAATTTTGTGCACGCGATTTCTCAGCGATGCGGATTTCTATGAAATTTTCAGGAATTATGCGCAATAAAATAAACTTGATACATTTTTAAGGAAATTTGGAAATTTGCTTCTGGTGCCAAGTTATGGGCAATTTCCTGATTTTAAAATGCAATTTTGTCGCCCCTTTTTTTCGAAAATGGCTAAAGATATGACCTGGAGACTTATTGGAGATGATAGTTCGTGTCTTTGTGGTTTGCAGAATCACCTTTTTGTGCGTTGTCAGTTCTTCCGGTTGTTATGAGATGCAAATTTTAAAAAATCGTATTTTCTAACTTTTTTGTTTTTCAGTATTTTTCATTTATTTTTGGTTTGTTATATCCTGATAATGCTTACTATATAATTTGTTTGAATGTTGATAAATTTTAGATATTAGCATTGCAGTATCCAAAATGGCGGCTGTTTTTTTCAATAGGGATTTACGGAGGGACGTTTGCTTGAATGAAAGTAACATAAGGATAAATGAAATGTATAGGAATACTTGGATAGTCACGCCGTAGTTACGTTGCAGTTCTGTGTTTAACTTCTATAATTGGTTTTGGCTAAGTTCCCAAAGTTGAAAAAGAAAAGACTAAATGTGCAAATGAAATTCGATACCTAATATCTTTTGTGCACCACGGAAAATAGATCTCATCATATTTATAAGTAATACTTTCTCAAAAAAGAATATTTATTAATATTGTCAGTAGAAATCTTAACCACTGTTTTTCCTATGCACACTTGTGTCATATTATATATAAGAAGACGATTTTTTTAAAGATCGCTTCATGGAGTTTATTTTAGCATTCTTGTCTCAAAGACTTGATTCAAGTTATTGAGCATAAATGATATCTGATTCCTGACCGTCGTAGGGCGAGCCAGCGAAACGTTTCAACCTTTTTCAATTAACTAATCGGGATAGTTCACTTTGGGGATAAACAGGAAATTGAAAAGAAGTTAGAAATTCATAACCGTTTCACCGCTTTAGTGTTACAGGCATATATACCATATGGAATTTGTAAAATGTGTTAAACATACTTTCTAAACCTCGAATCTTAGGCTATAAGAACTTTTTTTTTTAATTTCATTGAAGCTATCACACCTATTTACTAGAACATTCCAAAGAAAAGGCGCGAAGATTAACTCGTGGCGTTTGGTGCTAAATTTTGAATAGTGACCCGCCTTTCATAATTTTAAAAGAGAATCACTGTTTCGTAAATATATATAAATAGATTTAGAGAAGAGGTCCCGATAGCGTAATATTTTTCGGAATTTCATGCTGGCGACATGGGTTCAATTCTCCTTGTGTGCAATTTTTTTTTTTTTACTTTTTCAGCTCGATTTTACGTTTTCTTTCCGGAATCGGACGGAAGACCTCTCGTTGCTCGCAACGAGTTGCTCATCTAGTTATTCTTTTTTTTCTTCTTTGTTCTCCGGTACTTTTTTGTCCGCGAGTGTTCTCAGAAACTGTTCACCCAACTAAGCTAAAACCTTTTTAGGGTTAATAGGTGTGTAGTGTAGGTGTGCGGAACGAAGGTCATTTTGCGCGCATACGCATGCACGTGCGTGCGCGTGATATGAGTGAAATGACCGATATACTTAATATAGCTATAACTTTTACATTTTTTAATGAAATGATTTGAAACTCATTCTATAAAGATATATTAATAGTGTAGATAATATGACACTGTCAAATTAGCACGAACTCACGCGCATGCACGTGAGCTTCGCTCTGATTGGCTGAAACAAAAATCTCAATATCTTTTCTGTTTTTTGACGAAATGATATGAAATTTAAAATATAGGCATACTTTAGGATGTTCTACAATATGGTATATAACAATTGTCTTGAAAACACGCGCATGCACGTGCACTGCAATCTGATTGGCTTAAACTTTAAATGGCTATAACTTCCTTGGTTTTCAACTAAACAGGATGGGATTTAGAACATAGACACATATAATGGACTCCTACAAGAAGGTATGGTCATCATGCACATACAGGCACGTGCGTGCACGTGATCGTTCTGATTGGCTGAAACAAAAATCTCAATATTTTTTCTGTTTTTTGACGAAATGCCATGAAATCTAATATATATATATACTTTAGGATATATATAATATTATGTATAACAATTATCGTGAAAACATGCGCATGCACGTGCGCTGCAATCTTATTGGCTAAAAATGTAAATGGCTATAACTCCCTTGTTTTTCAACCAAACAGGATGGGATTTAGAACTTAGACAGACATAATAGACTCCTACAAGAATGTATAGTCCTCATGCACGTGCATGCATGTGCGTGCACGTGAAATGAATAAAATTAAAAATACGCTTAAATGAGTGTATTTCTTAATACTTCTGGATTAATTGATTTGATATTAATTATATTAAAATATATAAATGTGATAGACAAAACGATATGGTCATTACGCACATGCATTCAGATGAGCACGCGTGCAATGCTAAAATTTATTGCATAAAGTGTGTCTTATTTAATAGCGCTTGCAGCGAATATGGCACCAAAAGGGAGTTGGGGAGCGTTTGGGGAACATCTGTAACGGTCCCCGTTACAATTAGCCCTAGTTACATGTATCATGTATTCGAGAAAACGCATTTCCTTTTTGACTGCTCGGTTGTGTAAATCAAACTCAGTTGCAAGAGTCACTGTTTGTACGTATATGTTTGTATAAATATTTATCTCATTACTCATTATAGTAGTTTGATGATAAATTTAATAGTGTGATCCATCTATGAATTTATATAAGATATAATTTCCTATTTTTACGCTCCTTATCGGAGGTAATGGATGGACGTATATGACCTGTTAATCACCGAACTTTTACATGCAGGTCTAGGGTTTCTCTGGCTGGTACCCGTTCTAGATAAGAACTTTCTAAATTGATTCGATACAAAATCAGCTTATTCTATGGATGAAAAATTTTAAAACGACGAAAGCTATCGACAGAATTCAACAGTCTCTTTTAAAGTAAACATTTCGCAAATTCTATGGTCGACCTAGAATGACCTGGATAGTAAACACAATCTATAATTAAGTTGAATGCTGGTTGCAGTATTTCATACAAATTGCTAAAACCATGATTTTTTCACTGACGTGTATTTTATTTTTGTCCACTCATGACAAGGAGCATACAGAGGTTGGGGCTGGTGACAGGTGATGCCTCTATGACAAATGGCTCTATCTATGAATACATAACAATTGTAAATAATGAAAAAAAAATACTACATAAGGATTTCCAACCCTAAAAGGACCAAATTCTTTACTTTTAAATGTCCATCAAGTACACCATACTCTCATATTTAATTCAAGCACTTTTTAGTAGAAAAAGATTTACAGAGAAACGTTCCAGAATTAAATTAACGAAAGTCTAGTTAATTAACGAAGATTGCATTGAAGTCTATGGGGAAAGCGATTTTAAAAAAAATTCAAATAATAAGAATATCATTAAATACTGTGGCGGAAAGATGCATTGAAATATGAGATATAGAATGACAATTGAGAACTTTTCTTTTTACCAGATAAGTTTGTAAATTGATTTTTTATTCATTAAAAAACAGAGGGAGATAACTTTTATGAAAGCTCAAGGTCATAAATAAAGACACATCCCACCCTTACAAGCTAATAGTTATAAATGGGAATTATTTCTAAATATATATGCACTGAGTATTTTAAACACCTACACATCTGAACGTATTCAATTTCTTTGAATTTGTCGCTATCAGGGATAGAATACCTTAAGAAAAAAAAAGAAATCAAGTATTGTTCATTTACAATAAATATTTCCATTCTTATGTCGACGCGATATATCCCGATGAGCCTATTATAAAAGATACCACAGAGTCTGACATATCTGATTCATTTTAGAATCTTTTACTAGAAAAAGGCTTTAATGGTTATCTAACAAGAAAGCTTTATGATAAACGTGATGACAAACTCTTCAATCGTCAACTTCCTTTACTTTTGCACCAATATATACCCTTGTCAGCTGCACACGGAGTATATGCTCAGTATCTCTCAGTTGATTCGATACGGAAGAGCAAAATTTGCATGGTCTACGTATGAGTAATGTCTCAGGTGAGTTATTGACAAAAACGTTGATAATCAAATGTGCACAAAACAGCCAGTCGAATCGTCAAAATTGTGTACCAAAATTGATGACAAAAGCAAACCCGCGACCTACCTTAACATAAGAAACATTCGTCAAATAACAGCACTTGTTCTTGAGCATACATGTAGTAACAGCAATTGTGTAATTGGTATTTATCTCGGTACAACAGCATAAAACTTTAAACTATTTTGAAATTCTATAAATATTATTAATAAATTAAAATTGACAAATGACTAGATTGTTAATTAAACAAATAATAATAAACACTCCGGGCAAGGATCAAATATAAAGTATCAAAAAATTATACTCTTTCCTACATCAGGAGAATCCAATTCATACATAAAATGCTAGAATATCACGTGTCACATTTGAAAATTTTTAGCTTCTCAAGTGCGTTCGATATTCCAGAAGATTCCAAATCAAAAGCTCCCTCCTTCTTAAATCTAATAGGAATTTCTGCATCAAAGATAGACGTACTTAGTTTTCATTTTTTTAATCTTTACAACTAATGACTTACCGACGGTTGAACTGAAAAAAAATATCACAAGCAAATTTGGTCAAAAAAATCATCTAATATAATGCTGATTCACTGTAACAGAAGCTTCATGACTATACAAAAAAGTTTCTTGCCAAGAACACTTCTCCTGATGATGTCAAAACCTGTTGACAACAATCCTATTCTGTGTTTAAGTTACAACATTTATGGTAAAACATACCAATATCAACAGATAAACAGTCTTTCTTCTATCATATCACATTGAAATGTTTAAAGCTAACCTTTTTCGTGTTTCTTTGTGTAATTTTTTACACTTAGGATGTCGACCATTATGCAATCCCCCTATTCTACATATCCCGTTATGCAATAATTTACTATAAAAGAGATCGTTTCGATTCCATTCACATCTTACCATATCTGCTTGATCAAAGGTAAAGTGAGTTTTCAATTCATTATTCATTAAATGCTCAAAACCTAGTTCTTGGTGTAAATGGGTTTAACTGAGTCCTAGAATATTTTTTAAATTAAATTTTATTTTGAATATTCCAACTGTTTGATATATTAAAGGCTATCTTTCCAGTAAGATGATGCTGACGTTGGGATTATTAGTAGCACTTCCTCTGGCTCTGGGGCTTATAATGCCACCAGGACCCACGTATGGGCCAGGAGCTAACAGAGCGAATGGACAAACCCCTAACGTGCATTTTGGTCAAACTCTGAATATTGGGTCACCCAACACTGAAACCGGAAGAAACCCACCATTCAAACCAAATTCACTCGGGGAAAACATGAAACCTGGAATGCGGAAACAATTCCTTTGTAAGTTTAAACCACTTTTATGAACGTTCCTCAATATCTGTTTTGTATATCTTCGTAATGTTTGAAAAATATTCAAAACTTCAATAACATTCTGATTTTTTAACCAGTTTCTAAACGTTTTTAAAAAATCCAAACATAAATCCAAACATAAATCCAAACTTAAACATTTGAAATTGGAAAATTATTTTTCTTCGCAAAAGGATTATATAAGAAAAACTATCCCTGGTATCTTGCAGAAATGCCTGGTAAGGTACCTCAATTTTTTGTGAGTAAACATGTTTAAGTAGCAATACTTCAGTGACAAACTCTTGTGAAATTTTATCTATTATTAAGTAACGTCTCGTCTGTCCTTAATTTCTGCAATTTCTTTATCTTCAAGAACAATGTCAATATACAAATGTATTAAAAATATTTCTAGTTGTTTAAATTGGTGAACGAATACCCTTACCTTAATGATCTTCATGTAGACTAATGTTTTGACATTTTACTACACAGAGTGCACCATGTACCGTGACTCTGGTTATTTCTGCCCCTATGGTTATCCCCGCCCGGGTACAAGGTACTTCTTTAATGTCTTCAGCAGACGGTGTGAAAGCTTCTTCTACCTTGGCTGCGGAGGCAATCTAAACAGTTACTCCTCTCGCGAAGACTGTATCAGATCCTGTGCATGCTTCACTAACCCTGATCGCGGAGTCTATCCTTGTTCTTATCCAAGCACCCGTCGATGGTATTTCAACAGATACTCGGGCACCTGCCGACCTTTTTATTTTAGCGGATGCAATGGCGGAAATGACAATAATTTCCAGAGCCAACTAGAATGTCAATCTTCATGTGGCCCAGAACCTTGCAGTGGACCATGGTGCGATGAACCTTTGATGCCGATACCAAGAGGACAGCCTACTCAACCAGCTCTAATCGCTAATACTGGAGCAGGCGCACTAACCAACCCGACAGCGTCAGCCAAAACTAACGCACATCAGCAGCTAGGTTTAAGTAGTTTTCAAGCCATAGGTCCAAATAATTTTGGGTTTTCTCTGAATAGAAGAAACAGGCATGGTTCGGTCAACACAAACACCATGACAAATGATTTAATAAGTGAACTGTCCAACGGAAACAAAGGCATTGACATGTCCTCTGTTGCTAATATCTGGAATATGGCATCTAAATCAATGAATCAAGATTCACCTCCAAATGAAAGGAGTTTTGTATTTCCTACTCCAAACCAAGCAAATTCTGGAAAAAGAATGTATATTTGAAACTATTAAATTTTCAGTCTACTTAATGTCATGTTTTCATAAAAAAATTCTTCAATTTTCTTACGTACGAGGAACTAAAAAAAAGGTTTAAACTAACAAAGAACTCTCTCTCTCTCTCTTAATAGAAAAAAAAGGTAATATTACCAATGAGATCATAGACACTTGACATTTTACAAATTAATATACATGAAAAGATTCCATATTATAATACCATAATTATTGAATAATGATATACTATTATGGCTATTAACATACATGTATAATTATTATTTAAGACTGTAAGTATTTCTGTTGAAGAGAGAGAAAAAAAGAATTGATAGGTTAAGTGTCTGTGAATCAGACCTGAATATTTTTGCTTACTCCTCCATGGCACCTGATCCATCCAACTGTTTTGGAGGTCAGTGTTTGCTATGCTCCTATTTTGTATTGTTTATTGGACTTTTGAGCTTTTATGCTGTTCAGTATCTCCATATATTTTATCCTACAAGTGGTAATCCAACTACCTATCGCCCCCTGCTATAAAGAAGGAAATTCTTCATAAACATATGTCCCTTTTGAATTTTTTTTCAAATTCTCAACAACCAAAATGAATTTGAATTACCATATTTAAATTGGATTCCGAAACTCCATTAAAAATCCTTACAAAGATACAAAGCGGGTTCCAGGAAATGTTCGACCAAGCCTCTTTCTTTACTCCTCACTAAAATATTAACAGAAGTGAAGGAGAAACTTCAGGAGTACTATTCAACAACATATTCTAGAAGTGATGTAAATCAGATATGGATACTTCAAAATTCCAAGGAACTTTTGGGAAAATTTAAATCACATAATTTTTACCTAAATCAAACATAACATTCAAACTTACGACTTTTCAACTTTATATACAACTATTCCCCATGATAAACTTAAGTCCAGGCTTTTTGATATCATTGACAGATAAATTAAAATAAAAATTAAAACAGATATCATGTCGGAGTATAGGTGCTGGCTAGATAAAGATATCTTACTGCTTAATGGTTTTAAGTGCCGAGTTTACTTACAAAATTTGCAGCTCTCCACTGGCAAGTGAAGTGATTGTGTCTCAATGTGAGTAAAAAATTCTCGAAAGGTATACGTTTAACAATAAACAAACTGGTGTTAGAGAGGGTGATGTCATTGGTCATTTCAAAAGTCATCATTTTAAAATTCAGATGGTCAATACAATGCCCATGTCAGCGGGTGTTGCTAAAACGCGGAACGGAAAGCGGAACGGAACGGAAAACGGAAAATAAATGTGAAGCAAATAACCTTGATTCGATATAAATCAGACATAAAAAGCATTATTCATGATATAAAAGTCATACATAATGAAAAATTATCGTAAAATATGATATATTCATGAATCATGAGCTCCTCAGAACTTGCACATGTACATGCGATGGTCAATGAAATACATATTGTGATAGATGTACAATATACTTACTAGACTCAAATCCTGAGTATCAATCTGTCAAACGTTTCTTTCAAATTATTTTTTTGAGAATGCTCATTTATAAACAAAAAATCTTGTTCTGAAATAGGTTGAAGGAAAAAAGACTACTAGTAAGTATACAATACAGTTATACGCATTTGGCGAATCCAGGAATCTTGAAAAGGAGGGCAGCTAACGTCGAAGTAGGTGCCCTAACTCACACAAGAAATTGATTTATTAATTGAATCTTGTTTATATTTTGGTCACAGAAAGGAGAGGGGTCTGGTCCCCTATAAATTCACGAGTGGTATGATATGCAAATTGAGAAATTTAAATATGAATTTATAGCTGAAATATAAGAAAACGTTTCTTACAAAGGAATTTAATAGGATGTTTTTTCCCTTTAATTGCAACTTTTCAGACCTGAGCGGAAGAAAAAACTCTAAATGTTTAACGGTCGGGGTCATACCCCCCCCCCCTCCCTCCTTCCAAAAAATCACACTCTAACTTCATTGAATGTAAAGATGATATATTAATTTTACTACAATTAAGATTTACAACTCTATCTCTCCAAGAATTCAGTTGACAGGAAGCGATTCTATTTTTTATAAAATTTAACAACCAGTTTTACAATCCAGGCACGTAGCAACATTTCCCCAACATTACATTTACTATTGAAAATATCCATTGAAATTTTGGTAGCCCCCCCCCCCCCCCACTTCCTAGCACAGTATAGTGATATCAAAAAAATGTAGTATTGTATGCAAAAAAATTGGAAGTGAAAGGAAGTTGATGAAAAAAGTTGGACATCCCCCCCCCCCCCCCGAAATACAGTTTTCGGCTTTTAATATTCTTTTTTTTTCTTTTTGCTTGTCAACTTTTACAGGTAATCCAAAAAATGTTTTTCTCTGGTTAGCCCCCCCCTCAACTTTCAAAAACGATGCTACGTGCCTGCAATCGAAGTGTTTATAGTGTTTATTCGGGCTTGCCGGAAAGGGGTGCTCTAATAGTGATCTTAAGATTTATTTTTACTTTTTATTTTTCTTACCAATTACCATTATTCATTTAGATACCAAATATTGCCCCCCCCCCTCAACTGTTTACCAAATATAACGTTTTTACTATAGAAATGTTCATTGAAACCCCCAACTCTTTCTGTCTGTTAAATTAATGTAGTAAGTTGGTGTAAAAAATAGTACTTAAAGAAATTGGAGTTGGAATTTATAACACAAGTGAACTTGTGATGAAAATTTATTTTAACGAAAGTCAAGCAGTAAAAAAAATAAAAGTTTGTATTTTGAAAATGAATCAATTGAAGTCAAATAAAACAAAGACAAGTTGTAATGCTAACACACGGACACACACACAAACGTTTTGGTCACTCGGAATAGTCCAGAGTAAAAACTGTGTGTTTTGATGACGGAATGTATACATCTGATATTCTGTTTTGGATTGTCCACGGCGGATTTACTCTCTGAAACCACATACGAGATTCACTCAAACTTCAATTAACACATTTACGCAATTATCACACATTTAATACAATTTTATAAGGATTTTATTGAATTCCTTATATATATATTATGAGAAAATTTTTACTGTCTAAACATTAATTGACTGATAAATAATTTTCGACATATGTTAAAAAACAGGAATTAAAAATAAGTCTTTTAATAAATTAAAATTCTGTTACATTTTAAATAAATTTAGTAAAATTTACTTTGTGACATTTATATAATTGTCTTTTTTGAATGTAAAGACTTTTTTATAACATATAAAAAGCGATGCTACGTCACTACAATATCAGCGGTTTTCGTAAGAGACTTAACATGACTAAATCAATTTGTACTTATTAAAAAGTGATTAAATATGTATAACATACATCGTTTCTGAGAAAATTTATGTATTTTAAATGATTTAATCGAAAATAATATTTTCCGTTTTCCGTTCCGCGTTTTAGCAACACCCCATGTCAGCAAATACAATCTATCATTAAGTCAAATGCTGACTGACATTTTTCATACTAATTGCAAGGCCATTATTTACACACTAAATTATCAATTTTTTATTTTACATGTATTTAAATGTGACAAGAAGTTCTCGGCGGGTATGACCAATCGGTAGAGGATGCTCACTCCTCCATGGCACCTGATCCTACCTCCGATGTTTGGGGGATCAGTGTTTGCCCTACTCCAAAATCTGTATTGTATAATACAAGTACAATTAGTGAAGTTCTGAGCATTGTCCCTTTTTAATTCATATCAAATCATATCATATCTATACTACGGAATACCCATTTGGCTAGTATGTACGTCACTATTCCACCATCATGGTTTGGGTCGATGGCGCAATAATGCAATGACGATGGTGCGATAGTGCAGCAATGACACAATGGTTTGTTTGTTTATTGTTTAACGTACCTCTCGAGAATTTTAACTAATATTGAGACACCAACACTTGTGGAAAGCTGCAAATTGTCTCCTAAACTCGGAACTTACGGTCATTGAGCAGTGAGGGATCTTTTACGTGCCAGTACCTATACATGGTAATAATGCTAGAAGCCGATGACGAAAACGCTACGGTGATATGACGACGTAAGACGACATGATTCTCAATCGTGCATTCCCATTCTTGTCAGTGGACTTTCACTCCATCGCGTCATCGTACCATTGCGTCTTTGCACTATCGACTCGAAAGTCGATGCATCAATACATGGTGCAATAGTAAACTAGACGTACGTGCGTGACGCTATGATAAAACCGCTAATGATAAAACGCCGCTTTATGATAGAAATATCATCAGGGCAACGCTTATTGTAATTAATCATTGCATGAATAGTTGACATTCTCAACCGCTGAATGATTTTTTTCATAAAGCGGCAATATAGCATTAGAGTTTGAGATTGTCGACTATTAATGCAATAATTTATGGCAGTGTTGCAGTTGCAACGCTTAATCATATTTATATTATAAATCAAAGTTGACAAAAATAAAAATATCGACCAGAATAACCAATTTCATGAATCTTGATTTTGTTAATTTTTCTTATATTTGGAGTCAAAAACCAAGGCGCGTGTGGATGCTAAACATAGACAAAAAAATTAGAATGGCCTAACAACTTAACAATATGACAAATGGGATGATTTCGACTGTTTTTTGCCATCAGCTTTCCATATTTATGTAGAACATTCCACAAAATTACAGGCATAATCTGTTTTTGTCTCCAGATGAAATATAAAAAAAAATGTACAATAAGCAAGTCCATAAGGCCATTTAAACAATACAAATCGGGAGCAGAGCAAACAAGGACCTCCAACATCAGAGGTGGGATCAGGTGCCATGAAAGAGTAAGCATCTCCTGCCGTGTGCTCCCTATTATGAACGGAATGAACCATACTGACACTGTAGTTTGAAAAAAATGGCCTAAAAATTGCAGATAAACGTCAGTTAAAATTAGACTTTATGATAGATTCTATTTTCTGAGGTCATTGTATCGACCATAGAATTTGCAAAATGTTGACTTTAAACAAGACTTATGATATATAAGAAAACTAGGTACTACATTTCCCTATGATTGCAATGACCAGTTAGAGAACCTTTCAAGCCCTGGTGATATGAATGTTAAAAAAAAGATTCAATTAGAGGCAGAAATTCATTTCTAATGTAAATCTTCTAAAGTGATGATGCAATATCAACAGAAAATTTAACTGTATGAACACATTAATAGGACAGTATCCACTGGTGGGAAAACATAAACAAACAAAATTATAATTTAAAAATCATTTTTCTGAAACATATCTTCAGATATTAATTTAGTATTTTATATGTAGAGGCATAAGAGAGAGGAATAGTTACAACTCATTAGGACAAACAACTACTTGTTACAATTGCATGAACTGGACAAAAATGTAAACAGTATTTAAACAACAAATAAATTAAAAAAAAAAACAAAAAAAACAAAACAAATACGTGTACTTAAATAAATAAAATAAATAAATGATAAGTCAAAGACACATATTACAATATACATTCTATTTCCTTATTGATAATAAAGGTGGTTTAAATCGCCTAATGATGAAAGGTAATTAATAAATTAATTTAAACTTAATATAATAGTAAGTACATATATATTCAACATTAAATTTCAAGAATATACTCGTTTTAAGACATGCACTTTGAAAAAAAAATAAAATAAAAAGATGTTGATTTTTTTTTCCATTTTTAAAAGCATATTTCAAAAATTGTTTTAAATTAATTCAGAACAGATATGAACTATACATAAGAAGAACAGACCATAAAAAGGTTTACTTTAAATGTTGCAGCACTTTTGTATATAGACTAGACAAGTGTTAATGTCACCACTACAGCAAAATGGCATGTTCTCTACAACAGAGGTCAGATATTGAGCAAACCTAAGCTCTTGGATGGTATGTGTTAAAAATAGAATATTAAATATCCATGTACACATACATGAATGTCATAAAAATACTGGGCAAGCAGACAAAATACCAGTTTAACTATATGACATAGACCAAATGATATAACATTCTTTAAAATTTTAATTTAATAAAAAAAAATATCAAGTATTATTATAAAATTTGACTATTTTAATTTGACCTCATTCAACAAGTCAATTTTTGTCTTCTATTTCTTTAAGGTTAATCATTATTTTACAATATATATCAATATGTCACATTAAACATTACACAATTAAATTCCAAGTATGAAATATATATTCTTAACCCTGTATATAAAACATCATTTTCTTATAATTTAACAAAATTAAAATTCATTTATATCATAACTGCAATAACAGTACAAATGTGTACAACTTTTATCATAATTTCTAATACACATGTACATGTAAATTCAAATAACAAAAACAAATTGGGGGAGTGCTTAACGGTGAAATTCATGAAATCAATATTGAGTGCATACATCATTTAAACATCTTATCACAATATAAGGGTAAACATATACATTCATGTTTGCCTTCACTCTACTATCACAGACAATCAGAATAAAATGAACAAAGGTTGTCCCAGAAAAATGCTGACATTTAATGTACTTTTTGTTGCCCTAATAGAATAAAGTTCAATTAAGGAATACTCTGTACCCAGAATTGAGAAAAGTTAACAGAGAAACAGATATACAGATGGCAGGATAATTCAGAAAAGCTCACTTGAACTTTGGTTCTGGGACAACCTTCGTACATATGTTGCAAATAAAAGATCATTTTCAAAACAACAACAAAAATATTTAACAAAAATACCTGATCTTATGTACTTCAGAATTTAAAAAAATGTACTGAGCAATTAGTGGTGGTCTTGAATTCATAAAAATATATTGTATTGTGCAAGAGAGGCAGTTTTTCTAACAAATCTAAATCTTCTCTCAAGAGATCAACCAAAAACAATCCACAGCTGGGTTTGCTGAAGTTGGATAAGAGTCATTCACCATAAATAAACCATACACACTGTGATTAACAAAATCTGTATGGAAATTGTTCTTTCCTATCAAATATAATAATCTGCCATCAGAATAACTTATCAGTCTATCATTATTGGGTAAAGTTTACAGCTTTTGGGCATGCATATATAGAGGTAACTAAAGTGGAGTAAAGACAAGACTTTAGTTAGCGATGACAAATCCCCAATAAACATTTTGTAGCAGTGTCCCTCATGTTTATCCCTCCTTTGGAGGTTTGGGTTTACAGCTCCTCTGGTGGACAGGAAGTCGATCTGGTGCAAATGTTCGCCCACAGTTCTCACACTTCAGGAGCTGAGCTTTAGCGCTCTCATAGGCAGCATCATTCAGGGCATCTACATCGTAGGTTCCCTTGGCTGTAATTATAAATTGTTCACATTAAGTTCTAATGGTCCATATAGATTGCATAATGGAAAGTCAACTAAATTTGCCTTCGCTTGCCTCATTTGATATTTCAATTCTAGGAAAATGCTATATTAAGATATATTTTAAGATCAAGAAAATATTCATTTTAGTTTTCTACTCAATAACCTTTAAAAGACTATATATCATTTTATACCTAATTTGAAGCCTTATCATAATCTCAAAATGCTTTGTTAAAAAAGCTGTTTGACAGCAATTTATTTTTTTTTGTTTGTATTTTTACAATTAAATGATATGTTTGTTAGTAGGCCAGCTCAAAAACCTGTTCACATAAACCTTGACATCAGACCTGTTTACCCTGCATGAAGAATGTCATTACATATAAATATTTTTTCCCTAGTATAATATCAAGTATTTGAATGTAATTTCATAATGATACCTATTAAGCAGTATGATAATGTTTATCATTACCCAAACGACTATCTAAAGAATATATGTTTTTTGAGGAACATTAAATTACTGCAGTAATAGCATCTTAATTTTCTTTCCAATACTAATACTGTATACAGGGTTATTTTCGCCCTTTTACACTTGCAGACAATTTTGCCCCGTTTTAAATTCGCTCTGTCAAAGTTTTGTTTAAGTACCTATAGTGTATTATATGAATTCACCCCGTTTTAAATTCGCCCAAATGAGGCTAGGGTGAAAGGGGCGAAAATAAAATGGAAGCTAAAATTTCCCTGTATACAGTAGTATTCTCCATTTGTTTCTGGATAATTTGCAATAAATCTCTTTAATGATATGCTACAGAGCAGGCTGCACATATTCATTCCTTGAAGCACTTTAATTTATAATGTACTTGTACCTTCATGAAAAAAATCTAAATATTTTATAATCAACATGATCAATTGTAAAAGTAAACAGGTCTGTGATAGAAAAGACTAAAAGTGAAGATTTGCCAACAAACATGCTAGTGAAAGATTAAAATAAAAACAATCAATGTATTATTTAGTGTTAAACACAGTTCATTCTTTTTGCATTAGCAAGCATTGGTACTTAAACAGATTCACAGTAAACTGTTGCTTTCAGTATTAAAGACATTAGAAATCTCTTTGTCTCCATAACAAACCTCCAATGGTTCGGACAGTAGGTTTAATTGGCTCAGGTCTCTGTTGTGATTTGGGGAGTTTCTTGTTTTCAATTTTCCACTTTTCCAGACATTGAGGTTCATGGATTGAAATAGATTTTGTACCAAACTCTCGTCCACATATATAACACACCATAGTTGGGGGTCTTCGTATAACTGGTGCTGGCTGAAATTTCAAGGAAACTCTACTCCTAAACATGGCCCATTATCATTTATAGACTAGCTATTCCTTTTCTAAATCATCCATAATGATTTCCATCCTTTTTGCTTTGAGTTTTAATGCATTTCATCAGTTTCTAGGTGTTAAACTTTAGTTACCAGGTAATCCTCAAAAACTGTGATTGTCAGTTTTTGGCTCCTAACAAATCTACAAAGAATAAGTGGACCAAGCACAAAACAAATTGGTATAAGCAGTTATTATTTCCTGAATTATTTTTATGAAATTGGACAACCTTATCCCCCTTCCTTCATTCAACTCAGGGTGAGCCTTGAATTTTTCTAACTTGGGGTTGTGTTCATCATTAAGAAACACATAACATTTAACTAGAAAACAAGTACTTTTTAAACAAATGCCAAAAAAAAAAAATTGTTTGGTGAAAACTTGATATCTTGTGGATTACAAATTATACTGCAAAATGTTGAATGCATGTTTGACAAACAGAAGAATATACGGTACTTTAAATCTCTTGAAAAAGTGGACCCTATTACATATCATTTTATTAACTGTTGATGCAATGAGTATTGGTAAATATAAATCAGAATGCTGTAAGCAAGGGTTTATTAGTGGACAGAATAGAAGGTGAAGTGTGTCTGTTAGCATATACAGATAAGCACACAGACACACTTTACCTTCTTCAGCCTCAGACTTTATTCTCGGGAAACCTTGTCAGTCTTCTCGGCTTTAAGTAAGAGATTACAGACTCTCTGGTGAAGATCTATCCGGTCTTGCCGGAATCTTTTGCCACACTTGTGACAAGGAACGGGTCGGTTGGGAAAAGGATTATCTGTAGTAGCTTCAGGGGGTTCTCCCTGTGTAACATGGATCATAAAGAAGTTATTGACAGAGAACTGGATTTGGGGTAAAATTGTGTGAAAAGTTTTTATAAAAGCAGGGTGCTCAAGAATTCTAATTCACATATATCATGCAAAACAGCAAATAGAAAATGTTGCTCAGAGAATAACTTTATGAGGGAATTCATATACATGTATTATTATGTTAGTATTAATTTCTTATTACAGAGTACATTATACATGTACTTCGAAATTCTCATTATTCAATCTTTAGCTAGGGTTTTCAACTCAGATTTTGTTATTGCATTAATTAAAGCATTCACTGTTTTCAAGCAGAAGCTTATAAGGAAGCTAGCTTTGATGCTATTTTCTTCTTCATATCAAATCAATAAAATTTCTTAAGATTTGTTATATTATTAGTATAAAGGTCATATAAACCAAAAAATAAATCTTTCAAACAACTTAAACACATTTTAACCTCAGTAGAACAGGGTGGACAGATGATGTTACCTTTGCTGCTTCAGGAGCTGCAGCCTTAGAGGGACCTTGACCTGGCTTGGGTTTACATGCCCTCTGGTGGACATCTAGTCTGTCTGGAGCAAAAGTTCTCCCACAATTTTCACAAGGAATCAACTGACTCTTAGCATTCTCCCATGCTAATTCATTCATCTGCTCTCTTAAAAAGAAGAAACATGTTATAGTAAGCTGAACAATTACAATGCAGATATTTCCCATTTTCAACAATAAAATGCCTGATAATATTTACAGGTATATGTGTACATGTATTACTGTCACTTTTTTATGGCAGTCAGTTTTTATTTTACAAAATTTTCTGGTAATAATAAATACATGTATCATTATTTTTTTTTTCTAAATATCAAAAACATGAGCATGATGATGCGCCTTGGAGAGGTCTCAATCTGAATGTATGAAATATTAAATGAAATAATAATTTTTTAAAAAGGCATCATGGAGGCCATTGGAGGGAATGTCTTTGATCCAAGTTTGTTTTTAAGTGGACAAAATATTTTTCAAAAAATATTTCATTTACCTATATGGAAATTGTTTTTGATAATATTGAAAGAGAAGCAACTCCTATGAACATGCTGGAAAGAGGACATACTCATGGAGAAGCGTTTTGTGTTCTCTTTAAAAAGTTTTTTTTTTTTTTTATTTTATTTTTTTAAACACAATTCATTTCATACAGAATATTCATAATTAGTTATTGTTACATAATTGTGTATTTTTACATATATGAGAAAAGAGAGAGAGAGAGAGAGAAGAGAGAGAGAGAGGGGGGAGGGAGGGGGAGCGGGAAGAGAAATGCCGAAAAAGAGTTGGTTCCACCTGTTCCACTGAGTGTCAAATTTTTCTTTTTCACCATTTTTATATGATATATATTTTTGTGTTTGGTAAAATTGATTTAAATGTGACAGAGTGCACATTTAGAGGTTTTTCGGTACATCTAGAAGTATAAATATAATATTTTAGCCATAAAACTATAATATTCGCTATTTCATTATTTTTTCCTTTAATGCCTAAAATGAAATTCTTTTTGGTTATGGGCAACTGGAGATTTCTCTGTTGAAGATGATATTCAAAATTTTCAAGGAATAGTTGTACAAAATCACATTCCCATAGGATATGTTCAATTGTCTCTACTTCTCTTTGACAAAAATTACATGTTTAGAATCTACCTTTCTGATTTTGAATAAAAATGAATTAGTTGCCAATATTTTATTTAGAATTCTGTACTGAAACCACTGGAGTTTACAGTTTTTTGTAATTTTAAAAGGTAATTTATGGATTATTTTGGATTCCTTGTTATCTAATTCAAATAATTCAATCCATTTCTAAAACCAGCTGACACAGAAGAGTTTTGATGAAATTTTTTGATTTTTTACATTTTGATACCATAACAATTAGATGTAATAAGAGGATTTTCTGATTTTTGTAAATTTTTCTCCCCTTCCAAGTTTAACTGCATGGATTAAACTAGAATATTCTAAAAAATTAATCTTTACATCTGAATAAATATTGCAAAAACATTCATAGCTATAAAAGGTACCATCTACTCCAATGATATCATTGATATATCTAATATAATAAAAAGTTGATAATCCTTTTTATTATATACCTAATGTGTATCACTCAATTTTACTGTTGATTTTATGCTATCACAGCTCCTATCACCACAGAATCCATATCACCACTCTCTGAAACTGATCAGTAACAACATTTTAAAAACTTGTTATTATGCGTTGTTTTATGAATAAATGTTATACAATTGATATAAAGTTTTCTTTTGTTATATTCTGTTAGTTTATAGTATATAAAAATATATATGATTAAAGGCATATCACTAAATTAAAATCTGAAAGAATCTGTTTCTTTGAATCTGAGTTATTTAACCCTAACAAAAATTTACTGAAAAAACTATAACCCCTGTGTCTGATTACCTTGAGAAAACTATAGCCCCTGTGTCTGATTACCTTGAGAAAACTATAACCCCTGTGATATATGAGAGTGGTTTACTCTATTAAAGTCTTCATTATTCAAAGTATATCAGATAGATACAATGCTATATCTTTGCAATATCTATGAAATTAATCACTTAACTTTCCTCCAAGAAAGGAAAATATACATGACAATCACTGTATGCCGCAAGCCATATTCAATATTCATATTTTTTTAATCACATCTTCCTTTCACAAATTGAGAATATATATAAACATAGTGTACATTGTTGTATTACTCAGTTTTATATACCATTACTTACCTTTCCCTGCTCCCTTACAGCTTCTTTGATGTACAGAAAGTCTGTCAGGGGCAAATGTCCTCCCACATCCATCACAAGGTATCAGTTGTGCCTGGGAGCTCTGCCAAGCAGCCTCGTTCATGGCCTCTACATCATACTTCCCCCCAGACTGTAGAACCTCTGGTTTCTTTGGCTCAGGGCGCCTTTGCTCCTTTGGGAGTCTGCTGTTTTCTACTTTCCATTTTTCGAGACATTGAGGTTCATGGATGGAGACTGACTTAGATCCAAACTTTCTTCCACAGATGTAGCACAAGACAAACTGAGGTTGGGGTGGGGCATTTGTCTTCTTAGGAACAGGACTAGATCCCCCTGGGGTACTTGATGGGGTATTCCCACTTGATGAGGTGGCAGCTGGGGTTTTACCTTTGCCACCCCCTGGAGCCTTACAGGCTCTCTGATGTACAGCCAATCTATCTGGAGCAAACGTCCGCCCACACCTATCACATGGCAGTAACTGAGCCTGGGAACTCTGCCAAGCAGCTTCATTCATGGCCTCAATATTGTTGGATCCACCCCCAATGATCTCTGGCTTCACTGGAGTCTTCCGTCGTTGACTTTTTGGCAGCTGAGCATTTTCCTTTCTCCATTTTTCTAAGCACTGGGGTTCATGTACACTGATAGATTTAGTGCCATATTTTCTCCCACATATATAACACAGCACAAATCCTGGATTGGGGGGTGCCTTTGCCATAGAGGGGTCTTTCTTAGGTGCAGTGAATGTCACGTCTCTCTCCACACCAGGTTTATTCACTTGTGGATTTTCTACCCTGACAGTTTTGTTTCCTATAATATTCTCATTCTTTACAATTTTAGGATCTGTAATAGTTGTAGTCTTGGGTCGGTCTCCTTTATCTGTTGTGCCGCCAGCTTTTGATGGTTGCATAGGTTTACCTGTGTCAATAACAACCATTACATAAAGTAAACAGGACCTATTTAATATTCATTCATTTCATTTATAAAAGAAGACATAAATGTACAAATAATCAAATTGAAAACTCCATATTTGATATGAGTTTCAAACTATTTCAAGTGTTTGATTAACATACAGAATTTAAATGCCCTGACAATCATTTAACTTTGTGATTCTTATCTAAAAGCTCCACAAAAGGTTCCATACCTGGTTTGCACCCTCTCTGATGGATCGGCAGTCTGTCGGGTGCAAAAGTCCGACCACAATTTTCACAAGGAACTAACTGAGACTGGGCACTCTGCCAGGCTGCTTCATTGAACCTCTCTATTTGGAAAATTGAATTTGTTCTCATTTCCAATTCAGAATATCTTGTATAGTTACATTACAAATGGTCACTAAATTTTTTTGACTATTATTTAATGCAAATTAAACACAGGTGATTTCTTTTTCTTTTTTATGCATAGAAATGTTTTTGATTTTTAAGCATGTAATTATATACATGCTTTATTTCATGCTTTTGTACTTGAAAATACATGCCTAAGGTAGACAGGACTTTTAATCCAATTCACCTTTGCATCATATTTTAAATAAATCTATATGACTTGATCAATTTAAATATTCTGCACAAACATGCTCCTAGAAATATATCTAAAAGTATCTAGATCTATTCTTCAAAAAGATATACTGGCAAATATTTGCAAACCTTTTTTTGTTTTATAAATGTCGACTTTAAACTAATTTCATAGAATATACTTTGAAGAAATCTGCAAAATTGAAATTTAGATTTGTTTATGAGCTTGATGTTGACATTATATGAAGGTTGAACTTATTTACCATTGTCTGCGCCCCCTCCATCAATAGACGGCAGAATCTGGGGTCTGACTGGAGTTTTCCTTCTCTGAGCTTTGGGTAATTTCTCGTTTTCAATCCTCCATTTTTTCAGGCATTGTGGTTCATGTATAGAGAGTGACTGAGAACCAAACTCTCTGCCACAGATGTAGCAAACCACAGTCTTTTTTCTGGGAGGAGCTGGCATTCCAGAGCCCTCTATTTATCTACATATAATTCATCACAAATAAAATTCAGCTAGGTCTCCTTTGGGAATTCTCTTAAAAATTATTTTGAAAATAATTAAGAGTTATCCATGCAATATTTTAATTAACTCAGAATGTGATAGATTTGGCTTAAAATCAATCAGTTTGCACAATTTTATACTTATATATTTAGAGAGTGAAATTAGCATACAAACAAGATCAATATATAAAGTCAATGTCTGGAAATGAAAAGATTGGTATTTATAAATCTTCTGTAGGTGCAAATAATCAAAATGTTTGTGGATTAACAGAAAGTATATAAAGAATGTCATTCATCGCTGATAAAACATTTCCTGAATTAAACATATGAATCTGATTGAAATTTCATTTGAGATTCTCTATAAGCGTTGACATGACTTGTAATGCTTGACAAATAATAACAGACAATATCCACACAACTTTAACAAATAAAAACAGACAATACCAAATGGCACTTTAAGCGAGTGGTGATTTAAATGATCATGTGTATTCTATATTCGACATCGTCAGTCTTTACCAATCTTTTTACCAGTGATTGTAAATTTGTTCAATTAAGCAAGATTTAGCGCACCAAATCCACAGCACTGCTACAGATAAAGTTGCTATTTACTTCATGGTGTCGATAAAAAGACGTGTCATAGTGTCGCCCTACGGTAAATGACCCGTTTCCTTTGTAAACAATTCCCTGGTTACCGCGTACTTTGTGCCTCCATTTTTGTATGGAAATCTATTTCAAGCAGCAAAAGTAATCATAACAGTGACAGTAAACATGACTTGAAAGCGAGGGTATTGATTCCCACTTAAAGCACGTTTTAATTATTTGGTCATACATGCACAAAGCAGCACAATTTGTAATAAATGTGTATATGAGTTTCGTGAACTTCATTTACTAAAGAAATATCAAATTATTTTTAGCACATATGCTGTTCCATAATTATTACAGAAAACCGGAAGTTAAAGTGCTCGTTCTTCAACGTAGAGAGGTAGAAAAATGACAACGCTATGTCTCGGCCAACTTCGGGAAGACCAACAACTGCAAAAACTGTACCCGTAGTAGTTCCAAAGCTTTCTGGATACGTGTTTTCCGAAAAATTAGGAAGTGGTACTTATGCTACAGTTTACAAAGCTTATAGAAAGGTGCGATTTGTTTTGTGTATTGGTCAGGTCGATATGTCGTTTATGTCAGGTGATACTGACTAGTGGGCATCTTTTTCGTCTGCTAGAATTTTATTTCAGAATTGAAACAAAGGTGCTTGAATGATTAACAATAGATGAACTGATGAATGGAGAACATTTATCAATATCTGATTTTTTTCTTTGCTAATAAACTTAAAAGAAAATGGAACATAAAGCTCGTGTATCACAAACTAAATATTTATAATATACTTCTGACTCAATATATATATACAATTCATTTAAGGCCATCCTTAAAAAATTTATTTCCAGCGCCTGAAGGGTTTCAGACACATGAAAATATTTTTTTTTTAAATTGCAGATAATTTTTTTATTAAAATCTCAGTAAACAGTAAATACATTTTCTGATTTTAAAAAAATAACCATCAACAAAAAAAGTGAATTTTCAAATATCTATATTTCAGTGTTTTGTATCTGCATGTGATACATGTAATGGGCAAGAAAATTGATTAAATAAAACACACAATCTTTCCTACTTTTGGTCAATAAATTTTTTTCAGGAGGTGGGCATTTCAATGAGGTGGGAGGCAATTCCAAACAAACTATAATTTTATTTTGGCCTAACATTAGATTATCAGATTATTTCCAGCGGATGTCATACATGCATATTTTTTATCTGTTAACGATATCTGTCTTCTTCTTTTGTATTCTCCTCACTTTTCATTAAATAACCTAAAGTGAATTTCAAATATCTATTTTCCCATTTACTCTCCCTCTGACCTCTTGTGCATGCGACACACACTCTTTCCACCTCATTAGAATCAGAATGGAATATCAATTTTAACAGAGAAATGATCCACTTACTTTCCTTTTACTAAAGTAAATATCATACCCAGCCATTGTAAATACACAAAATTCTATAATATTCTATTTATCATATCATTTCAGAGTGAATGCAGACAAGTAGTAGCTATAAAATGTGTTATGAAAAGTTCATTAAATAAAGCATCTACTGAAAATCTCCTGACTGAGATAGAGCTACTGAAGAAGTTAAAGCATGAAAACATTGTCAGACTTGAGGATTTCCAGGTAAATAGACTCATATATTAATGATAAAACATATATAAAGTGTTGTCATTTTCTAGATTATTAAATTGAACTATATACAGTGTACTTATTTTTTATTAATATGTTGTTTAATCAACATATGCATTCTTCATTTTTTTCTTTTACAATTAATGTTTTTATACTTAAAGCCAATACTAAGTATTTAGAATATAAAATTAACTGCTGTTCCCCTCAGTGAATAAAAAAAATACTATTTTATAGAAATCACAAAGTGACAGTACATATATAAAACAGTAAATTCAATAAACTGACAGGATATGAAACAAGTGATTATAAGATAAAATAAGGAGCAAAAAATAGAGTGAAGGATGAGTATATAATTTACTATAATACAATAAATGCCATGGGATTTCCCCCATTTTTTAATGCCAATATAACACTCCTTTTTCAGTGGGATGACCAGTACATTTATCTTATCATGGAGTACTGTAGTGGAGGAGATCTTTCAAACTTCATCCGATCAAAAAGAACTTTACCAGAAAATATTCTCAAAAGATTTTTACAGCAGATAGGTATGCATATATGAGGGTTAATCCAAAAGTAATGTCACTGTGTCAATATCTTTAATATTTGACGTCATTTTATCAAATATAACATACTGTATACAGGGAAATTTTCGCCCCCGTTTTATTTTCGCCCCATTCGCCCTCGTTGGAAGTGGGCGAATTTAAAACATTATATTTTAAGTAACAGTATAATATCTTAAACAAATATCTTTTTGGGTGAATTTAAAACGGGGCTAAACTTGTTTCCGAATGTGAAAGGGCGAAAATAACCCTGTATACAGTACCAAAAGATGCATAAAAATAAATCTAATCAAAATTGAAAATTTCCTTTAATGATGTTTATTTGAATTAATTTTATAGACGTTTGAAATATTAAACGTAAGGGGTGTCGCTGCGTCACAATAAACATGTTTTAAGTTGTGTAAATTGTTAGAATTAAAAAAGACAAACACATTAAAAAGCATCAAAAAAACATCTAATCTTCCAATATTTTAAAAGACAAAATTTTACGACATTTTTTGTCTTAAGCAAAATAAAGTGACGTCATTGCTTTTTGATCATAAACATAGTTCAACATGGATTGAACAAAAGAAATGTCTATGGAGAAAAACCACTGAAACGATCTGTAATGCGTTTTTGCTTCAAAATGAGGAAATCGCCCGTAGAAACAGTTACGATGAGAAGTATATCATTCGATATTTTGAGAAGTATACATCATTTCAATTTGATTTTTTCAGGACTGATTTGTAATATATATAGCTTTGAACAATTATAATTTCGTTAATTTACGTTGACTAGTAGCATTTTTAACGAAGTTGTGGCATTACTTTTGGATCAACCCTTGTATATGCATCTACATATTCAAGTACATGCAGATGGTCTATGAAAATAAACATAAACAGTTCTTATTTAACGGTTGAAAATGTTTAACATTATATTTTAAGATAAACAAACTCGATATTAAATTCCTTGTTGTTTGCAGAAGAAATCACAAGTAAATACTGGTACCTTTTATTTTACAAATACCAGGTACCTGTATTAATAATTTTTACACCAAAGAGCTGTATTTTTTAGATTACCGGTATATTTTGTTGTGAAAATGAGGCATTAAATTGAATGATATATAGTTGTGTGTGTCTGCATTTTTAAAATTTATTTTTTTGCATGTTTACACATTAAGAAAATCTGTTTATTGTAATATTTGATCAAAAGAAGGAGTTGTGACTCATGAAATATGGTATTTTATACATGTAATACCGGTGCATGTAGTTTATATTTAAACAAGATGACATATTTGTTTCTTTTAGCAAAAGCCATGCAGTACCTGTATGAATTTAACATAGCACACATGGACCTTAAACCCCAGAATATACTATTAACATCTCACTTGAATCCAACTGTTAAAATTGGAGGTAATTATATGAAGATAAATATTATTTGCGATACACATTAAACTAATCAAAAGATAGTTTTCAACAGATGTAAATTTAAATCTAGCAAGAGTTATATCCCACTGGTGCCATATTGAAGGTCAACATGCTTAGATTCCTAAAATCATAATTCCACCAATTTTAATTTGTCATACCTGACCACTGGAATTGTAAAAAACTGATCTACATAACTTTATATGGATCTCCAACTTTTATGTATAAATGCATGCAGAGCGGATGTCCAAGATGGCACCAAGGGGAATAACTTTGAAGAAAATATGTCACACAAAAGTTTTTACTCAGAAACACACAAAAAAACACCAAAAAATATAAATACTTCCTTTCAGAAATAATAAATTTACTGTCTTACATCAGAAATTAACTTGATTACCTTTCAGATTTTGGTTTTTCCAAACACTTGTTCCAAGGAGATGAGCTGCATACTTTGAGAGGGTCTCCATTATACATGGCTCCTGAGATTATCTGTAAAGGCAAATATGATTCCCGAGTTGATCTCTGGTCCATTGGAGTAATTATATATGGTATGTATGATGATAGTTTGTAGATGCTACTGTAAAAACTATCACAAATAAGGAGCATATTAAACATTGACTATATAAATTACTTGAAAAAATCATATCTTAATAGCAAGAATTTCCAACAAAAAATTTTAATACACATGCACATCTAAATAAGAATAAATTTCATGCCATTGAAACCTGGAGGAGAGAGGGTTGCACAGATTTTGATGTTTTTCATACAATATTGTTAGAATTGAAAAATATGGGTCATGGAATTCATATCTGCATCTTAGATTCAGCTAAGAAAATGTTCAATTTAGATTTATATGAAGGACAAATGGTATATATTGCTCCTGTTCTTTTATGCTTTGTTTGATTCTTTGGGCAACATGCATACATGTACTGCCAAATCGGGATCATGTTAATCTTTTTATACGCCCGTCTTAAGACGGGACGTATTATGTTATAGGCTTTTCCGTCCGTCTGATGAAAAATTCGTGTCCGGCTCATAACTTCAATACTATTAGGCCTAGGATTATCAAACTTTGTCAACTGATACTTCTTTGACGGTGTGTCGCGAACAAAAAGCATTTAGACCTTTATAAAGATGCTATGGCCAAATATGGAAAAATCCTGTTCGGCTTTAAGTAGAAAACTATTAGACCTAGAGCTATCAAACTTGGCAAAAGTATACATCTAAGGTAGAAGGTGTGTCGCGACCTATTTCAAGGTCACTGTGACCTTTAATTTTAGTGAAATTTTTAAAAAACTAAGTTTTTTAAATTTTAAATTTCATAATCCTAAAAATGTAAAAAATAGAGTTGTATCCTTATATTAAATCAAGTAAAAACTTATTTTTTTCATCATATACTTTACTGTAATCTTAAACAAATTTCAATGTTAATGAGAGGAATTCAGTTTGTCCCATGGGCATAATTATCAAGCACTGGTCAAGAAGAATTTTGATAGCAGAAAGTTGCATGTCAAATTAGAGAGAAATTAATGAGTTTAGTGTGAGGAGGTAACTAGTAGAGCATTGTTGTTATCTATATCCCCTGGGTATTGGGCAAATGGACAGCCAGCCTAGCTGTTAGATTAAAAATAGCTCTTGTTGGCTAGCCTAAGTTTTAAAATGAATCTGATGAAAAGTAATTCAAACTTATTTAATATTGCTTAATAAACTAAAATGATAATATATATTATAATTAATTAAAAATAATTTTATAGTGGGGTTACACATTTACTTGTCCGTATGAATTTAAGCATAAAACCTGTCTGGCATTAAATCTAAAAAGAAATCATGAAGTATTTTATATGTTTTAAAAGTGTTTTAGGATAAAAAGTGCTGATCCATTAATATTTAGGGAGTAATGAGTAGACAAGCATCCAGCCAAAGATTAATTAATTAGTTCAATGTAGGAAGGTTATCTGATCAAGCACTGCCTTATCTGTATCCTTTGGGGATTAAACAGAAGAACTGCTGGTCAGTTTATAGCATATGTCATTTGATGGCCAGCCTTTGTAACAAAATTAATTTGGCATAGATTCAAAGTTGTTCAGACTAATTTGATATTGTTTATTATGATGCCAGCATTTGACAAAGTCTAACACAAACAGTATAGAAATCTATCAGTTATGTATTAATATTTGTTATAATTATGCCTACAGCACAGGGGATTGATAAAGAAATATTTTTTTTAAAAATAGAAAAATCATGGAAATCTTAGAATCAAGGTTGACATATTTTCTTGCACTCTAAACTGTTAAAGATAATTGTGTAAAATGGTGTATCATGACTGATGGCGTGGCACTTTATTTTCATAGTTTGGTCTGTGTGTAGGAATTAAAGATCTATGAAAGGTTTTCTTTATTTAGATATAAAATCACAAATTTTCACTTTAAAGTTGTTGTTTAGTACATAAATTTCTTATACATGTACAGGTATGTGTATAGTCATGTAGTCTACATCTTGTAGAAGCTGTAAAATGTTACTGGTAAATTTATTTGAGGAAAAATTAGGTCTAAACCGAAATGCAGGAATGACAGTATGTAATTTATTCTAGTACATACTTCTGTAAAGCAAGAATTGTAGAAGAATCATAGGGTGATAATAAATTTTATCAGGGTCATTTTGCCAAGGTTAAGATCTCAGCAATTTCAGTAGAAAGTATTGTTGTCCTCAGTAACAAGGTATTTCAGGAATTTCAGAACTGCAGAATTTTATCATCAGATCATATAGAAATATTCAAATTTAAGTTACACATGTTAAAGGATGTTGATATTTATGTGCAGATTTATACGTAATATCCTTATTATCCCCTTGCCATGGAGTTGAATGGGATATGATAACACAATGTAGGGTGTGTGTCTGTGTGTGTCAGCATTGTACAAAATGGAAGTGACATCATTTTCATTCGGATCAATATGCTCTTTGTGAGGGGAAGTGCCACCTAGCAGTACTCTTGTTATCAAAGCTCTTGTAATGCTGCTTGGCTCTTATAAATTCTCAGATAAATTTTGTGTACTTGAACATCTTTTTTGTAGAATGCTTGTTTGGGAGAGCCCCATTTGCTTCAAGGACATTTAAAGAACTAGAAAATAAGATATGGGATTCTAAACCTGTTGAGGTTTGTTTCTACATTACATTTTAAAGAAGTTGTGACCCTTCTGATTGATTTGATCAATTGGTTTCTTTTTCATGTACAATTTATTGAGGTTTAAGAAAATGGAATTCCTTTAATTTTAAGGTTTAAAATATTTGTAGATTCCATATGGCGTTAACATATCTGACAGTTGCAGAGACTTGATTCTGAGATTACTGAAGAGAAATCCAGAAGAAAGGATAACATTTGAGGAATTTTTCTCACATCCATTTGTAGATCTAGAACACTGTGCTTCCAATGAGAGCTTATCAAAAGCAGTGAGTAGTGTGATGATGGTGTAAATTTCAATACATGTACTCTGTAGTTTATGACAGAAAAGGTCCCCTGTAATTTATGACAGAAACTGTTCTTGATGGTTTAGATCACATATATGAAAGGACTTGCATTCCTCACCACACAGATATATTACATGTATATCTTTTAATGTTAACATCATGTTGTTACAGTACAGTAATGTCAGAGTAATGGCACTTAGATTTCATTGGAAAGTGAAACAAATTAAAACAAAGAAGTTCAGAAAATATATCATTAAAAATTCAACTGTTTTATAACCTGCAAATCCTAGATCATCACCCGAGGAAGTTATAATGACAGGTTGATTTTAATACTTTGTGGCTATAGCTCTCCACCACATTTTAATTGTATAATCACCATTTCTACAGTGTAGATTCACTTTTATATTAATTGCAGGTTAATATTGTTGCTAATGCAGTGAAAAAAGATCAAAATGGAGAGTACAAAGAGGCCATAAAACTGTACTGTGATTCTTTAGAGTACTTTGTTCCTGCTATTCGCTGTAAGTCTTGACTAACAATCATTATTATACTTCTGTTAAAATGTTTCCTATATAAAGTTAAGAAGGTAAAAAGCTATCTTTGATAGTCTACGCATAGCAAAGCTATACCCCGGGGTATAGTTTTTGCTATCCACCCTCGGAAAATGTTCATGCAATTTTTGCCACCAATTATGATTTCCAGCGATAAATCTATTGACTGATGATGTCATTATGACGTCAGTAGCATTTTGACGTCATCATAATGTCAGATTATTCTTGTAGTATTATCTTACTCAAAAAAAAAAATTCAAACCTCAAAAATTGTATTATACATCAGTATAATAAAACATTTATCCAATGGTTGTGAGTGGGATAGCTCTTTCATCAAACCCTTGACAGGAACTTTTCCCCTCGGGGAATAGTTCCCTGTCGCGGGTTTGATAAAAGAGATATCCCACTCACAACCATTGGATAAGTGTATACTATACATGTAACTGAAAATAAAATTTGATTATTTAGAATCCTTTAAAGGAGGTTAGACAAAGATCTGAATATTTTCTCAAATTTTATTTATAATATCATGACTTATATGCTCCTATATATTTAAATATATAGTAAAATATTTTTTTATTTGGAAATTATTGAAACTAAGAATTTCAGGACGTGTTTGATTGACGCATCCTTGCACTTTCACAAAGTAAATTTTATCCATAATACTTAAAAAAAGTAGAATCTCTGTTGTGTATTAATAAAAAATATTAAAACTATAATCCAGAAAATTCAGAGTAGAAATGTGAGTAAGCAAAACCAACTCACCAGTATTTTCAGTCTGTGCTCAGTGATGTGTTCAGAGTTTAACAAATCAACACACCCAGTGAAACATTAATTTTTTATTTTTAAATTGGGCATGAAATCTGTTATTGCCAAGTCTGTATGTTTAAGCCCCTTTGATGATAGTGATAATTTCAAAAGAAATCTTTTAATCAGTTGAAAAAGATGAGAAAAAGAAGGAGGCCATACGAGTAAAAGTGAAGGATTACATGAATAGAGCGGAGGAACTGAAGAAACTGATGAAGCCAAAGAGACCCCCTCCTCCTTTTAATGGGGTCAAACGGTCCGTCTCAGAGGATCCCATGGAGGAACTCAGTAAGCATCTCAGTCTGATTTCTAAAAATAATGTGTCATAAAGGGAGGTAACTTTTGTAATGCCACTTCCGTTTCCCAACAAAAACGCCTGCTCTATTTGTAGTGGAACTGTGTAAAGATAATGAAGAATTAACAGCAGCCATAACACTGATAAAGGCAGCAGATACAGAGGTATGAGAGTCTTGATTTAATCAGAGGAAAGGTTTAATTTATTGTGCATACAAATCTGAAATTTCTTCATTTTGTGCTAGTTAAGTCTCTTACATTAAGATTTTTTTAAACGACTTCTTTTCTTTTTTTTTGCAGAATTCTCAAGAAAATTATGAACAAGCACTGAAACATTATGAATTAGCATTATCAACATTCATCCAATACTTAAAAGGTAGATTGAAAAATTCTAATGCTAGTATATAATGCATCTGATATATTTACTAATACATGTACTGTAAACCAACTTTTATTTGTGTGTGAGAAAATTTCGTGAAGTTGTGAGAGCCTTGTCATCGCGAATATTTCTTGCTGCAAATCGGTCTTTAAAGTCTCTATGTCTACTAAAAAACAGATCCAAAAAAGACTTGATTGCAAATATTAATTGCTACGAACTAGATTGCCTCTGGCTAATTGCAAAATAAAGCTGTCATGAATGAAAGTTGGTTTTAAAACAGCATAATTACACTCAGATTACTCCTTTTGGGAACTGTCTTAACTTCTAGCAAGATACAGTCCAACATTATCATGAACATTTTACCTTAAATGGATGAAGTGCATGAATTTCTTAGCTGATGAATTATTTTGATGCTTGAATTTATCCTTCTGTAACTTAGGGGAAAACATAATTCAGGTTATCTAAGTCTCTAAGGTTATCACAGGTGCTGCATAAGTTACTTTTTGTTCATATATAGTTTAAATACCCAAGTACACTTTATTTTGAAATTGTCTTGCTGTGGTATTAGTCCTGTTTGGATAGCTTGATTTATCTAATTCCAATGATTGCATTTCAGAGGAGAAGCCTGGTCGTAGGAAAGACCTTATAGGTAAATTATCACATGGTTGGATGGATGAGGCAGAGAAAATCAAAACCTTTCTGTCTGTCCGTGAAATGAAAACCGAAGACACATCAGCCACAGAAGAGGAAAATGAAAAGAAGTTCTTTGACAATGGTAATTATAGATTTTACAAAATGTGATGTAATCTTAAGATAGGGCAAATCTGCAGCCCAACGCTAAAATTTAAGGGACTCCGATCCTCAGATAGGAAGGACAACTCTTTAATTTTTAATTTAATTCAAAAAGTCTCAAAACGAAGCTTGATAATTAAATCTTTTCATGCAATAATTTTCATTATATACATCTTAATGTGCGTCAAGGCTCTTGGAAGTTCTCAGAAAGGTCTCATTAAAAGTCGAAATTTTTACCCCATAAAAGCATTTTAAAATTACATATATCAAGAAATTGATGTTAATTTTAATCTAACCATAGATACCCATGTTTATTAATATATGATATGAAATTAGAAGTGATTTATGGTGCTTTGCAATGACCAGAGAATCTTTATACACTTTGCATTGTAAAATGATCGAAGAAAAATTATAAAAGAAATTAAAGTACATAATATGTTGAAAAATTGTGGAATTTCTACAAAAGCCTGGATACCTATGATTTTTATTTTTAAAATGTGTTAATTGATCAGATTTGAATTGGAAAATGCTAAGCAGGTGTTTTTATTCGCAATCCATGAAAATATATTTGAGATTTACCAATTTTCTCTATATAATATATGATAAACTTGAAAGATGAAGTTTGAAGAAATATTGTGGGTAAAACATGTTACTTTGAAAATTCAGAGACATTTTTGTGAGCATTTTCAATTATTCAATGCTTGATTTTCAGAACCTGAGGATCGGAGTACCTTAAATGGCAGCAATAAATCATTACATGCAGTTTAAACCATTCATTAACAATGTGTAAAATTTTTCAAATAAGTATGTAATTATATTACAAACCCTGTACATGTTTAATGTGAATTTAAATGCTTGATTTATTTATGGATTCATGTAACAAACTAGAGGTATTGTGAGCAATGAGCTCACTAAATCATACCCCCCCCCCCCCCCAGCCTCCCACATGAATATGATGGCAGTGTCCATGTTTTGTTATGGGAAACCCAAAATATGTGTCCGATCAAAAAGTAAAATAAGAGGTGAATAGTGGCAATATGTATTAAAAATTCTGTGAAAGTCTCATCAAATTTCATTCAATGGTATGAGAGGAGTAGCGGATAAGAGGTGTATGAGAGAACTTGTGGATAAGAGGTGGGTACCCCAAAGCGTAACAGACAGACGGACGGACAGATATACTGATTACTACAACTGTATATACCCTCCGGCTTTTCAAGCTGGGGGTATAATAAAGGCTCGATCAAAATATTTGAAACAGTTCTTAAAAATAATAACTAGGCAAAACTCCTCTGCAGAGTTTGACCTGTTTCAATTCTTTTCAAATAATTGTCCTCTCCAGATACACTTGTGAGGATGCACCAGGTATGGGAAAAATCAAATTACATTGCAAATAAGTACTTGTTATTATACCCCATGCAACAAGTTGCGGGAGGTATAATGTTTTTGACAGGTCCATCAGTCAGTGTGTCGGTACATGTATTTTTTGTTGGCGCAACTTCTAATAAACCGCTGCACAGAATTTCGTCAAACTTTTTAACTTTGCAGATATTTAGTACACAATTTGTAGATGTGCATATTACCAGGAAATTCCGATTCCATTATTTTTCTGGGAATTTCGGCACTTTTCAACTTACATTTTTGGCCATACCTTGAATATAGAAATGAACAGATTGTCAGCACAACTTCTCAGTCATAAACTGCTGCACAGAATTTTGTCAAACTTTGCAGATATTTATACAATGTGTAGATGTGTATATTACCAGGAAACTGATATTCCTTTTTTTCTCAGCAATTTCAGCACTTCAAGTTTTGGGGGAGCTTGGGGTATAAGCTTGCTCACTTTTTCTTTCATTGACTTAAATCCAAGGAAATGTTTAAAGTAAGAGCTGAGACTCTAGATTATTTTTGACATTACTTCTTTGTTTGTGGATTGGGAAAAACTGTACATCTGAATATAAGTGCATTTAAATGCTAGAGGTACTGTGAGCAATGAGCTCACTAAATGATACCCCCGCCTCCCATATGAATACAATGGCAGTATCCATGTTTTGCTATGGGAAACCCAAAATATGTGTCTGATCTAAAAGTAAAATAGGAGGTGCACAATGGAATATGTAATAAAGATTCTGTGAGAGTTTCATCAATTTCATTCAGTGGTATGAGAGGAGTAGCAGATAAGAGATGGGTACCCCAAAGCATTACGGGGTTATGAAGCATTATTCAAAATAATCCCATGTTTCCCACTATCGTTGTTGCCTTGGCATACTATACTATCTAGACAGTAATTCCTTGAGAAACTGCTTTCTGAAAGCCACAATGAACTAATTTTTGTATTTCATGCATCATCTTTCTAGATTTGTTCTTTCAGAGAAGTGTGGCATACAGTAACTGCACTGATGGTAACATCAAGAGAGATTCTTTTTCATTCACTTCAGAAATGAAGAAACATTTTGTGAAGAAATTGAAAAAAAAATGGAGATTTAAAATAGAACTTTGTTGTATTTTTTGCATTTTACATTCATATTTAATATTGAAAGGTTTTAATCCTGATTTGTTGACTCTGTCTATTTGGATTTACTCTTGTGTGTTATAACTACATGTATATTCATATAGACTATTTGTCATACAAGTGCTTTTAAAAAGTTCTCATATTCCATTACTGATGATAAATTGTAAGTACGTAGACATTTTTATCAGCGTTTTAAGTACAAGATTTGATGTGTAAATTTGTATAATTATGTGTATGGCTGTGTTACCTTTGTATATGTATGTATTTCAAAATAATAACATAATTATTTGTTATTTATTAAATCTTGTTTTACATTTGTATGACATTTTTATTTATTATACATTAATTTAATCATGTGATATATCTTTTTAAAAGTGGTCTAGAACCAGACAAATTTATACCCGAAATAAGTGTCAGATAAAAAATTAAATAGGGGGTGCACAATGGCATTTATGTAATAAAGAGGTTTTGAAAGCATCATTAAATTTTATTCAGTGGTATAGGAGGAGTTGCATAAAAGAGATGGGTACCCATCAACATTAAAGAAAGAAAAATGTATCCATGTTTTGCTATGGGGAACCCAAAATATGTGTCGGATCAAAAAGTGTAGCAAAGATTCTATGAAAGTCTCATTAAATTTCATTCAGTGTTATAAGAGTAGTTGTGGATAAGAAATTACCCCAACGGGTAACGGACAATTTACACTGTCAGGGACCGAGAATTACATGAGGCTAGGATGGAAAATAACGTTTGTTTTACATAGCTCGTACATAGGTACACTAGTAGCTTATATCTCTAGCAAAGAAGGAAAACCTAATGATGTTTTAGTCGCAGATTTGCTTAATGCAGCCTATGATAAATACATGTATTGAAAAAAATATAATTATACATCTATCAGGTATTATATGGAAATTGATTAAATTTTGGGACATTAAAGAATGTGAATTCATCAAATGACACAGTGCAACCCAACCTGAAGAAAGATCGACGGTCTCGTCAGATCGTTAAAATTGACAACTTGCCAGGTATTTAATTTGCATTTCCGAAAAATTTCCTATATCTATAAATAGAACTGAAATTTTATTACACATTAGAAATTAAATTTTTGTGAAAAAGGTATGTTACAATTAATTATTTCTTTGGTGCATATTTTTTTAAAAATATTAATGCAAGTACAATTTTTCATCATCATATAACAGCATACAAAGAGCCGAATAATTAGACCTTTTAGTTTTATAACAAAAACGAAAGTACATTGCGTTTCACTCAAGTAGCCCGATCAAAATATATTAAAAATATTTCGAAAGTAGGAAATATTACTGTGATTGAACAACTCCATTATCTTTTAATGCAGGAAAACGGATGTTACCACTAAAGAACCATGGATACCAAAGATAATGTATCTGAACAAGTACGTACAGTGTAAATTACACGCAATGTATTAATTACATACAAAATTTAAGTTTATATATATCTAGTATTATCTACGTAACAAATGTACTTTTTTTTATAGAACACGATGAAACACAAATTTACTTTTAATATGTTCTTAAGAGAATGTTTAATTTTAAGCCAGTAACATAGAGTAAGTAAGTATGCAAGGTTGTCACTAGGTTTTGAAAGAAACATATGAAACATATTTTATATGCCTCAGTTCCAAAACAAAAGATGGGATATGCCAGGAGAGACATGTTCGGTACCCGCCGTGTGTTCCTTGTCATAATCGGGAAATGAAAAAATCCGTCGTCAATTCAGTGTATAAATTAATAATAGACTAACAATTAGTATGAAAAATGCCAGTTTGCATTTGACAATGATAAATTGTATTTGCTAGCAAGGTCATTGTATCTATCATAAAATTACGAAATAATGACTTTAATTTAAACGAGACTGCTGATATTCTTGTTTCATCGACTTGTTTGTCAATAATTTACCTCGTTTAGAAATTGTTCATACGTAGAGCATGCCCTTGCCTATCGAATCAACTGAGATACATAAACTCCGTATGCTGCCTAAGTAAGGGAAGTTGACGATAGAAAATGCAAGATTTGTTGGTTGTCAACCATTAACGCAAGATATATTGCATGTGCATGCTGATATGTACACAATGAAGTTCCATGTCATTAGGTGTATATGAACTGCAATGGTAGACCCTGCTTCGTACAGTCATAAATCGGTGTAAATTTATTTTAGATGTGATCATTAAGGATGATTTCTGAGTTTTATTTGAATTCAAGTGTTATACTTTGCAGCTTATTTACCGTTTACCTACATTTCTATGGCACGCCAAATTCACAAAAATGAGATAATCATAGTTTCACAATTGATAAACTAGGTTTATCGACTGTAAACTATAGTTTACATACCGTAAACTATAGTTAAAGATAATTATGTTTTCATGTAAAAGTTAAAACGGTTGTTAACTATAAGAGAAACTGATTTTTATATGTGTAATAAGCTTTAACAATAGACTTTGTTGATAAACATAGATTCACGTTTGTAAACTGATATTGAAGTAAACTATAGTTAAGAGTTGTTAACATAGTTTCACAAATCGTGAAATATATTTATCATTGTTAATTATAGTTAACGGTTTGTAAACTATAGATTACAAATCGTGAAACTGTATTTATCAGATAATCTATGTTTTGCAATCGCAAATGATTGTTTTCGGTGTTAAGTATAGTTTATGGTTGTGAAACATAGATTATCGCGTTAACTATGGTTTACAGATGTAAAATATAGATTAACGTCGTTAACTATAGTTTACAGTCCGTATAATTACAACCGATAAACCTAGAAAGCATTGTGAAACTATGATTATCTCATTTTTGTGAATTTGGCGTGCCATACATTTCACATCAGCCTTGCTTCCGTGAACAGAAACGTAAAATCATATTGATTTACAAAACGTTTAAAATACAATGAAGCGCATTGAAGTGGTAAAATTTTTCATTTGGATGAAACGTTCTGAGTCATGCTTTGACCGTCAATTATAACATAACGACACGCCCATTCCTTTAGAAACGAGAAAGAAATATTCGTCGTAATGTTTTAAGACACCCCACTTTCCGCGACAAACAGCATGAGTTACACTAAACTGAAGATTTTTAAATAAGATAAAACTATATAGAGAGCCCCCGCTTTTGTAAAAGACGCATTGCAACGATTTTGTACACAATTACGATTTTATCATGTTTATTAGAGTTTGCATAACACAAATACGTGCTTACTGGTGTTTTTGATTGGCTACTATATTTATGGAATACCTGTTTACAGGTATTCATTACATTTGACCGATTTTTCCTTTCTAAAGAAATTGTCTTAAGATAGCTCAAAACGTTCCATCCAAACGGAAAATTTTACCACTTCAATGCGCTTCATTGTACCAGCCTTGCCGTATTGAACAAAGTGTTTATGTTGATTTTCAAAATGTTGTAATAGATACAGACAGAAAAGACATCTTGCTTTAATTAATCAATTTATGGCCAAAATATTTACGAATAAATCGGAAATGAGACAACCCATAATTGATTACTTCACTGTGTGTAGATACTTCTTCAGACCACATGTATAATTAGCTAAGTATTATGTTGCTAAATATGGTGATTGAACAAGTGCTTCTTTCCGCATTACGCCCTTCTGTTATACGCAGACAAGGACAAGCCTTACCCCCTCCCCACACAAAAGTGCATTAATTTCTACATCCCCTCTGCCATTCCTTTGCGAGGGAAAAACAATATCTCGCATGCAGTGCTTCAAGGTTTTATTTCTCCAGAAGAGAAGGATAATTATTTTTCAAAATTACCACTGCCATTTTTTGCATGACCATTCAATTTTGAGAAGGAGAAAAATAAGTCAGTTCAGGAGAAATGCCACACCAGTGTTTTATTTTAAGATCTTTAAAACATCCTTTTAACTATAGTTTCAGCCTCATTTTCCATGAAAAACAATCAACAGCTAACATTGACCTTTCAATGCTGAAACCATAATCTGAACAGGGATGTCTTAAAGATCTAAAAGACGGTAACGGTAATGTAACAAAAAGGCTCTATGATAAACGTAATGACTTTAACTTTTCTATCGTCAACTTTCCTTACTTATACAACAACGTTGTAGAAACGTTAGTTCTATGGTCAATACAATGAATATGGTGGCATAACAAAAACAAAAATGTCAACATGCAAGATAATGATGTCTACTAGCTGCAAAAATTAGCCTTCGACGATTTTTTTTAAATCTGGTATTTTCTGGTTTCCTCTCCCAAAAAAGGGAAGAGGGCTACATTATTGCAGCTACTGAGTATATGTCTACATGCAAGATAATTGTGTTACATGCAAGTTTAAACTCTTTTAAGAGAAACTGATTTTAATATGGGTAAAATTCCATACTGCCGCCCGTTTCTGATATCGAAGAAGCAAGATGAAATATAATTATGTACACATGCGATTTATTTTTGTTAATATACAACATGTTTATGTCAACATGCAAGATAAATGTGTCAACGTGCGTCTTTAACATGCAAGATAATTCTGTCAACATGCATGCGGGTTAATTAATATGAAGACATGCAACTTAATTATGCCCACCCCCCTCCCAAAGAGAGAGCAACATATCTATGTTGCATGTTTACATAATTTATCCTGCAGGTAGGAAGCAGAAATATGCCACCATAAATGATATTGTTAGCTTTTACAATTTATCATTCAGCCTGTCAAATACATGTATTGACTGGTGTTTTTCCATAGAAAGGCCATTACCTTCGCGTTGAATTATCGTCGACGGATTTCTCCGTAATTTCCCGATCATGACAAGGAGTACACGGCGGGTGTGACCGGTCTGCAGGGGATGCTCACTCCTCCATGGCACCTGATCACACCTCTGATGTTTTGGAGGTCCGTGTTTGCTCTGCTCCTATTTTATGCTATATGGACTTTTGAGCTTGAATTCTGTTCTTTGTAACCTTATGTTTCATTTATTTTCATACGTGTATCTTTCTTTATTATTTTTTTTCACTAAATTGTTTTGAAAATAGACAGAGGTTTTATGAGGCATATTTTAAGATACAAGCTGTATATGTTTTTTATGTATCAAAATACCGGTATAAAGTAAAAGAACTCTTCATTTATAAGATGGTTGTACAAGATTTAAAAAAAATGGTTGTAATTCTTAAGAGACTATAATTAATAAAAATAACCATGTGCACTACTTTTAAAGTTACATGATTTGGCAAGAAAAGTGACTGAACTGGAAAAATCAAACAAAACAATTCTGAAGAGCTTAAATGAAAGAGAGAGGTACGTACAAGCAATTCCTTTTAAATTATACTCATACACAAACATATACTTGAAACTGTTATCCAAAGTGCCATACATGTATAAAAGTAACAGTTACTTATTTCTCCTACATTTTCTAAGAAATAAAATTTTAAAAATTTGAATTATTTTGTGGGCTATTTTCCCTTTCCAGACAGTAGGCCTATGTTCTAGTTTTATCTTTAAGTTGCTAGTATCTAAACGAAACTTCAGAAGACGTTACTTGCAATTGTATAAAAGTTTTCTTCCAAAACGCTGGAAATAACTACATGTAGCTATATAGATCCTACAAATGAATTATATAGATTTGCTATTTTATAAACCGCTTTAGAAAGAAAGAATTAAAATACCTTCGAATTATGCTGCTTAAATAAAACTTCAGAAATAAGACATTTTTGAAACTTTCAAAAAATATTTTTATTCTTTGTGGATAGCGACAGTATTGAAACACTTAAACACCACACAAGATGTTTGCTTTATTGATTTTACACTCATGACTACTTGGAAGTATATCAGTTGTTTAAGTAAAGCATTTTTTTTTATTCGCTGAGAATTTATAAAAATGGCGAAAGAAAACATTTTGTTTTTGTTTATCAAGTGTAACCATATTCGAAAGACTTTGCGGTTTAAGAGAATCAGAGTATTGTTTTGTACACAGTTTTGCATATGTCCCTTTCAATTGTTGGCCATGCAAGATATTAAATCTCGGTCTTTTTTTCTTCTTGTAAATTTTATGAATTTATCTCAACCACAGAAAGGCTCTTCACACTTCTACGATTAATGTATTTCCAACACCTCCAACAATTCTCTGTTTGAATGTGATCCATTGATACTAAAGATAGTATGGCAGACAAAAACGAAAAGGAAAAGGGGAAACGACTCAATTTTTGCCTTAGATGAGCTTATAACTGAAAGGAAAAAAAATCAAATATTTACATGTCATTTATAATGAAATGTTCTTTACTTTAACAGGTCCCAAAAACTTGTAGACAAGAAATGGACGGGTACGTATTCAAACAAAAAAAAATCTGCTGAGCTCACCGACGTTTCTTTTTTAAAATCACCTCACACTCTTTTTTAATGCGATACACCGCACATCTCTCGCTCACCTTCAATGCTAGGTCTCTGAAGCTGAATGAAAATGATTAATACTGTGTATTTTCTACAAAGATTTATATAGAATTTTTCTACTTTTCAAATTTTTATCATTAAAAATTACCGTTTAGATTTCGGCAAAACGCTGGAATCGATGAAGGGAAAGAGCGACACGTCCGACAAAGAGATCAGATGGCTGAAAGAAAACCTACATCGACTTAATGGTAAGGTAGAGGAACTCAGTCAATCCGTCAGAGGTCTAAAACACGGACATAAGGAAGGAGCAAGAGACCAGGGGAAGGTTATCCCACACTCCCAAAATGGCCCTAAAATCACAATAAGAAAACTTCAGACCGTGAGCGATGGGAAAAGTGTTCCATCCACCAAAACGTCTATGAGCAGGCCTAAAGAAAAGGATGTAACATTAACAAAGGAACAAGTTTCTGTGTCAGAAGATCACAAATCAGAACCTAGTGAAAATAAAGAGAGAGAAATAAGTAGAGCTCAAAAATCTCCAATGACAGTCAACGAGCTTGGTCTTCGTGGACGCATGACCCCACTGGAAGATGATAACCGTGTGCGTTTGATGCAAGGAAAGAGTATTGAAAAGGGTCAAGCCTCTAATCTAGTGACAACCCCATCATCGGAAGGTGTCAAAGAAAAGAGAGAAGACAGAAAGAATCTTCCAACCAGAGACGAAATAAAAAGGAGAACAAAGGGAAGACAAATTCGGAAAAATGGAGAACGGCCAAAACTGTAAGTCCTCCATTATCAAAGAAAATGAGAATTCCTCCACAAATTGTGTGGTGTTTATAAAAAGAATTCAGCCTTTATATGCAATAAAAGTATTTATTTATTAAGCCGTAGGTTCATTGAATGATGATTGAAAGAAATAATTGACAGAAATATTTGTTTTTGTCTTATAGAACTGTTCAACACGCGGCTGGAACTAGAAACGAATATAAAAACTTAGGTAAATAAAAAATCACATTTGCGCCTATTATGATTATTGATAATATTATAATTTTAAGTTTGAGAAAAAATGAAATGCCAATAGAGAAAATTCAGCAGAGTTTTACATGAGATTTTCCTGATTAATCTTTGAACATGATGGTCTTTCTAACTTCAGCTGGACTCAGTAAAGATCCCGAGGCGGTGCCGGATATCCGGGAAATGAGCGAATGGAAAACGATGGCCGAGGCCGAGAGAAAAAGGGGTAAATTAGAAATTGGAGAGAAGGAAGCGATGGAAATGAATCTCTCTTTCTTTCTCTCTCTTTCTCTCTCTAGTCAGAAATAACTGTTACAAGTTTGTTAATTTATTTCAGAATAACGTTAATTATCCAAAAGGAAAAAAAACCTTCATAACTTGAAAGCAAGATAGTGTAAAAATATGATATATATGAGATTTATTTAGTTGTCTGGTTAAGATGTTTAGAACACAGGTAACAATTCTATTTTGTTGAAGATCGAGTGTTTCTTAAAATTTATGTAAATGCCTTATTGGTGCAGAGACACGAGATTATAGGAGATAAAAGTTTCAAGAATTTATTCTGGGGATATTGCCTCATGTTAATTCTACCAAAATTACTATTAAAAATTATTTCTACATTTAACAGCTACAAAATTACACTGGCAGATTCAAAACGTTATAAAGTTTTTTAAAGCAAATTTTGTGGGATATAATTTTTTTTTAAAGTTTTTTTTTATCCGTGCCTGTTTGTTACAAGAGAAAAAATTATAGGAAGAAATAAATGTTTTTCAAATAAAAACTGTATTTATTCTTCTCAACTCGTTATTCCTGAACATGGAGATAACAAACAGTATTCAACATAAAAAGTATATAAAACGATACAAAACAGGAGCAGAGCAAACACGGACCTCCAAAACATCAGAGGTAGGATCAGGTGCCGTGGAGGAGTAGGTGTATATGTGTCCCCTGCCGACACCGGTCACACCCGCCTGTAATCCTTGTCATGATCGAGAAAGTACGTTGTGTGAAAATGAGTGTGAAATGATGACTTTAATCAAGACTGCTGAAAATCTGAAAAAAATTGAGGCAAACATTAGTAAAAAGAGAGAGAGAGAGAGAGATGTATATTTTAAGATAAAGTGAAAAATAAAAAGTTTTTTTCACCTAAAGAATTATCAATACTATAGGATTGAGTTTAACAACCATAGAGAGAGGAGCTGGACCAGGGACATGTCTTTTGCTGGACATTTCTGGCAGTATGGAAGGGGATATGTTTGAAGAAATGATAACCACAGCAAAAACTTTCATCAAGGGTAAGATACGTAATTCAAACAACGATGAAAGGTAAACAGAAATTCAAAATTTTACATTTTGTGCTTTTGTTCCAATCAATTCACTTTCGATGTTTTTCTGCAGGGATTTCAGATGTAGCGAGAGTTCTAGAAATACCGGAGAACGTTGGAATCGCTACATTTGGAGAACAGACAAGAGTTGTGCAACACATGACAAATGACTACGATAGAGTTTTAGAAACACTAGGTATGGTGTCTACTGTAGTGTCCAGCTAGAGCATGATCAAGCTTTTTATATTTGGTATTCCACTGAGAGTTTTCTCAAGATAAAGAACACCGGTAGAGAGTGTTATATGTGTCCACTATACTCTGAAATCTAAAAAAATGTAGTATTTTCCGATTTGAAAATTTTCAATTGTGTGGTATAAAGGAATACACCAAAAATACTGATTTATATTTTGAAATGTTGAAATAATAAAGAAATTGTATATCGGTGGTCATCGTTGCAAGCCACTAGATTTGAATCTATTGCATTTCCACAACCTATTCATCTCGTAAAATTTATATTGACTGGGTGTCAGTAAATACAAAATTTACAATAATTTTGTAAATTGGTTGCTGAGTATGGTATGAAGGTTGCTGACTATTATGTTTCTCCGTTCTTACAAACGAATCTTCGATCAAGTGATGCTAGATTAAGCTTAATGAACGAAATCTTTGATTATCTTTACATGGCAGTGCACATACTGAAATCAAGTTCGCTATGTCGTGGTAGATTAATGCAAAAGATCCGGTAGAATATAGGCATGAAAATATATTTTAAATACATATACAGGGTGTTTCATAATATATGTTACATTTTTAAATCTAATTATTTTTCTTACCTGTCATACTTCTCTGACAAACTATACATCATTTTAAACATCAAATCCTGCATTTTTGTTCCATGTGAAAAAATCAAGGAAATCATACTCTTTCAATGATTAATTGTGCTATAAACACCAATATCACAATTTGAATACCTGGGGGACAAATGGACTTATCCACTCAGTGCTGAATTGTAAAGCTGTTTTTTTTTATTCATGTCGCCACTATTCATTCAAAAGTTATGAAATAAATTTTCTAAAACAAATACAATGGAAAATTTCTATGATGCTTATCAGAAGGGTAGTAACAAGGTTAAAGGACAGGGATGGACAATATTTGTATTCCAGAAAGCCTAAAGACTTTAACAAGCGGATATTTAGTTGGTGCGTTGGAGACTCTTGGTGTAGAAAACTTCTGAGAAAAGTGTCTAATAGATATTTTCAAAAAATTATTCTGGCAAAATCAGCATTTTCAGCATATAATAAACTTTCAAATATGATTTGAAGTTTTCAGCGTACAAATTTTCAATAATATATTCTGCATTTGACAATCGCAATCTTTGGGCTCATACATAAAGGCTCTATAATCCTAGACCACGTATAATGAATGAACTTAAAAGGAACATGGGCATTTGAAACAAAAATATGTGACAAAGGTTCTATACAAATTTTAGGAAACAACTTTCATTTGTTGTTGAATTAATGGAGATCATTTGGAACATGTAATGAGAGTTCGTTGTGAAATTAAACCTAATAGCAAATTGGAAATTTTGCCAATTTTCTATAATGTTTAAGATTTTGATCAGTGTTTAATATTTTATTTGGTAATTGTAAATTATGAATCTTATGGATATGTGCATCAGTTTGATAAAAGGACTTATTAATATCTTTTTCTTGTGTTTGTCAAATTGAAGATTCAAAATGTAACATATATTATGAAACACCCTGTACTTGCAAAGCTTTTAAACATTACAAACTTCAGGACAGGATTTGCATATATATGTTCTTCATTAAACCGAATAGCATAACTCGTTTGAACATTTAAGAAAGTTGAAATCAAAGTTGATGTGTAAGCCCGTATTTTGCACTGGACAATAGCTTAAGTTTCTAGCGAAAAACCTCAAATCATTATTCCATTAGTTGAGTACAGCTGTAATATACAGCAGTGTCTATTACACCTTTTCTAAATTATCATGTTTTACTGATTTTTATAAGAAAACTGAATGACAAAGGAGGTGAAATCACCTTTCCTTTATAATGTAGTAAAATTCTGCAAACATCTTTAAATGGTATAAACGTCTCCCAAAGCAATTAATCTATACAATACACAAGCGTATACTCTGATTTCGATGGATTTTATAACCGAAACTGGCAACAGACAGATAAGTGATGTAACAGGGATTGTAACAACCTCATTTTAAGTCAGCATTTCGTATAACATTCTACGATTTTTATAATGACCATAACGTGCTATCACTGGATCAGTCTATTTGGCTGATGTGCATCATAACAATTGTTAGATGCTTTGTTACACCAAATTTGATAAGGGATTATTCCATATACCTTATAATTACATAGGGTTCACGGCAGATGTAACTGTCAATAGTGGATGCATATACATGTAGTGTTTGTACAGATATGTGTAAATAGGTGATATTAAATACAAGTTCCTTTAATATGCAATTTTAAGAATGAGCCTTACAAATGAAAACTATATCATTACCTTCCTTGACAGCTATGAGATGCAAGTGTACATAAGGATCGTGTAATTTATCTAATTAATTTTTCACTTCTGAATTAAAAAACAATATTTGAAACAAAAAAGTTTAAGATATTTTAGATCCAAAGTCTATGATTGAATAAAACATATTTGTCAGCTATTTGATTATTGAAATTTATTTGATAATTATCTTTAAAATGAGAAATCTTTTATTATGTATAACCAGACTTACTGACCCCTGGAGGACCCTCCCCCATGTCTGCTGGTCTGTACATGGCTCTAGCTTGCTGCCTAGGTCACAGTAAGTTTTAAAATCAAAGCAAAAACTTGCCTAAGGAACGGAAAGTCTCTGCGACCAAAAAATTATGGTTTTCATTATTTAATGAAAATAGTTAAGATACGTATTCTTTTCTCTGCAAAAGCACAGAAAGCATTTTTATGGATATCGTATATTTAATTATATATCAAACAGTGTTAGGTAAAAAAAATATTTCAATTTAATGGCTTTCTATAGTGGGCATATATATGCTTTATTTACTATATTTGTTATGTTTTAATGACTTAAAACATTTATATTTTGTAAACAGTTCCTAATACTACCGTTCATGAGGTTCCTGTAGCCCCCCGGATCATTCTCATCACGGACGGCAGAGGAACGCCTGACATCATAGCTTCTGGAGAAGATGATTTTCCAACCAACAAGGAAACAAATCTGATGGTATGTTAAAACTAGAGGTACTGTGAGCAATGAACTCACTAAATGGTACCCCGCCTCCCATATGAATATAATGGCAGTGGCCATGTTTTGCTATGGGAAACCCAAAATATGCATGTGTCGGATTAAAAAGTAAAATAGGAGATGCACAATGACAATATGCAATAATGATTCTGTGAAAGTCTCCTTTAATTTCATTCAGTGGTATGAGAGGAGCTAGTTGTGGATAAGAGATGGGTACCCCAAACATAACAGACTGACGGACAGACAGGTGGACGGACATCCCGATTACTATCCTCCTGCTTTTCAAGCGGGGGATATAATAAGGATGCACGAAATAAATATATACTACTACTAATTATGAGATAAAATATTGAATTTTCCAATTTCAACACTTGCATGTGTATATACATTTATTATACATTAAATATTTAAGAAATACCTCTGGATGAATGAGGCAGTTGAAGATTTGGAGAAAAGGAAGCACAGAGTTTACTGTGTAACCCTAGAAAAAACAGAGACGGTGAGATATCTAGCAGGTTATACAGTTTGGATAAATTTAGGATCTGTTTGTACATGTTTATTTTGATCCAAATCAAAAACATTACTCTTTTCCTCTACTTAAAAAAATACTTAGTTCATAAAAAATCTTTTCTGTGTATATCTCAGTAAAGAAAATGTTCGAAACATAAACCGTGAATTTCTTCTAGGTCAATTATTTGTAATTCAAACATTTTGAAGTTTTTGTTGGAAAATGTACAAATATTCTTAGGCTACCTTGTTGTAAACATCACTAATTTCAAAACGATAAATGTGAAGGAGCAGAAAATCATTACAGAAAAGTGTTTATTATTACAATTTTTAATGTCCTTATGATTTAAGGATATGATAGAACTTATCTGTAAAAAGACACACGGGAAGATATACAAATCAGAGGAAATCAGCAAGTTGGTCCGCATGACACAAAACACAGTAAGTTTATTTTTCTATGCACATACAAGTGTAAATATACATGTAATGTTAAAATGACCCCAAAAAAAAACAATCATAAAAAGACAAGCCAACTAAACAGTTTCACGTACTTGTGTACTTTTGTAAATGCTTTTTAAAAAAATCTAATCTTTCTTAGAATAATATATGGCTAAAATAAAAATACTTTTACATGTATTACCATCCTCATGATTTACTACTGGTATGAATTATTAAGGTACATTGTACTCCGATCCTCAGGTTCTGAAAAGCAAGCATTGACTAATTGAAAATGTTCACAAAAATACTTTTTTATATTAATTCTTCAAACTTATCTTTCAAGAAAATTAGTAAATTCAAATATACACTTTATGCATTTTCCAATTCAAATTTGATCAATTAACACATTTTAAAAATAAAAACCATAGGTATCCAGGGAAGAAATTCCACAATTTTTATACATATAATGTAATTTAATTTCTATTATGTACTTTGATCATTTTACAATGCAAAGTGTATAATGATTCTCCTGTCATTGCAAAGCATCATAAATCCCTTCTAATTTCATATCATGTTAATAAACATTGATGTCTTTGGTTAGATTAAAATTTCTTGATATATTTTTTTTTTCGGGGTAAAAAAATTCTTATGAGTGAGAACTTCAAAGAAAAATTGAGATTTAAAATTTTGTTGAAAAGATTTAAATTTCAAGCTTCATTTTGAGACTTTTTAAATTATAAATTAAAGAGAAATGGAAATGTAACAAACTGTTTGATGGCCGTTAGTCAGACGTTTTGTTTCGAGGTTCGACAAATCACATTTGTAGTTTTTAACTTTTTAAGCCAATTTTAGTGTCGGAACAAGAAAAAAAATTATAAAACAATGAAACAAGCCCAAGAAATCATTGCAGAGCAGATATCACTGACACACTAGTTCAGCATGAATTGTCACCGTAATCAAAACTAAAAATGAGCTATAGCCCTTGTTAAACAACGTATCAAATTTTAATTGCATGGATAGATAATTGAAAACGATGTATCATTTTTACAAAATTAATGTAATTAAAGGTTCAAGCTATCATGCTGGTATTCATGGGATATAAAGGGTCAAGAAGTAACTTTCGTTAATTGATAATACGTCATCGATATACATGTAATTGAAATGTCGAGGTATAGAACACAGCAAGTGTTAACCTAAGGAAAAATAATTAATATACATGTACGTTTATTGAACCACATCTTAGAAAATGAGAGGGCATGACAAAAAAATAAGAAATTGAAGGAAAAAAAATAATTTAACATTTTGTTACCCAATTTGACAGTAACTGGATGTTTCTGAAAAAAGTACCTGGAAATGTATATGAATTAAAGAATAAAAGAAAGTTATCATTTTTATGAGAATTAATTGTCCTTAAACTTTTCACATTTTCGACTTCTTTAAGATCATGTTTCTGATGATTATTATGTTTAAGGACTAAATTACAGACTAGATGCTTGATTTATATTTCAGAATTATCTTAAGAATTAAGAAACCCTTTTTTTCTCTGATAGGAAGAAGTTGTTCATCTGGGTAAATATTTCAGAAATATATAGAAAATTCTTTAAAAGTCTTCTTCTCAAGAATAGCAAAGCCATAATTGATCATATTAAATATGGAAGCATCCTCAGATAGTGTAAAAGTTCATCGGGAACTTTTGAAATATGAGGAAAATTCTTTAAAAATCTTCTTCCAGAATAACAAAGCCATAATTGATCATATTAAATGGAAGCATCCTCAGGTAGTGTAGATTCAAGTTTGTTCAAATCATGACCCCCGGGGGTAGGGCGGGGCCAAAATGGCCGACCAAAGTTTTACATGGAAATATATGGGGGAATATCAGGTAGTGGAAATGGACCCCCAGTGGACTGTCAGTTTTACGAAAATTCTTTAAAAATCATCTTCTCAAGAATAGCAAAGCCATAATTGATCATATTTATATGGAAGCATCCTCAGGTAGTGTAGATTCAAGAATGTTCATCATGACCCCCCCCCCCAAAGTTTTACAAAATATATAAAAATTCTTTAAAAAAAAAATAGCAAAGCCATGATTGGTTCCTTTTGGATTTAATCTTTTAATACCGATTTTTTTTTTAATTGTGGCCCATGGGCCTCTTGTTACAAATGTAATTAAATATTTCTTCAAGCTAAAACAGGTGGAGAGAATATACTTGGATCAAGTATATGAAAAAAAGAAAGTTATTGAATTATTATTTTGAAATATGAAATTATTTTAAAGTACAGTGCTGGATAATTCGTATTGTATTTAGGTAAATAATTATTGATGTCAGTTCTGTCACACTTTTAGATCTTCCATTTAATACCGATTTTTTTATTTCCCCCAAATATTTTTTTAAAAAACATTAAAAAAATACTTAAAATATATTTTGAAAATAAAATTATTTTCTCTATTTTACAGGCAAATAATTATTGATGAAGACAAGTGAATTTTTTTTAAAGACATTAATAAAAGCGATAAACATTTTGTCTTTAACAGGAAAGACGAGTGTCTGGGTAGAGTGGGACTGTGGACACAAAAACACCTACACTTATAATGCACTTCTGGGTTATGACATTTTGGTAGTAGAAGAACCCCGAGTTCTCAAGGGAGAAATGATCGCCGTGGGCTGTTTGGTAGAACGAGGTGATCCATCAAATAAAAAAATATATCAAAATGTTAGTATCATTTTAAAACTTACGACGATGTTAATTGCTTTTAACTTTATTGTAGGAGAGCACTGGCGATATGGCGACCAAGATGGTGGTAAAGGGAACGTAGGAGTGGTCATTAATGTTAAGGAGAATGGGCTGATCACAGTAAGAGTTGACAATATTCTTTCATGTACTTGCACAGGGGTCTTAGACTATACAAACACATTATATTATTGATAGCCCTTATGTTCATGTGGAAAGTATGAAGATGTTTATCATTTCTTTTTTGCCTGTAGAAATTATCCAAGCGCTTGGAATAATCTTTTTTATCGCCTATATTTCCTTGACGAATTGGTCAATATTGACACAAATTAGTTATTATGTGGTGATGTAACTTTGCCTGTAGAAAATAATACACTTTTTTTGCTGCTGTGCATAAATTTATCGATGAATCATATAGATTTTAGATTGTTATCTTACTGAACAAATATTTCACCTGTATCGCTTTTTGAATTTATATTTTTATGTACTACATGTACATGTATTTTAATTCCATGACATATAGTTATATTTAAGGAGGGGAACTCGAAAGTTGAAAGAACTTGTTACCATTTGTATCCATTTGATTTACTCAATAAAATATGTTCAAAACGAAAACAAAAACATATCAAATAGTAAGAACTTTTATATTAATTATTGAAGTATTGTAATTTTCTTCAGTACGAGTTTATTTTCTTCACAGGTGAGATGGCCAAACAAGGAAAAAGTCATATATAAATTTGGATTCGACGGATTCTTTGAGGTTAAAATATGGTATGTTTATACTCGTAAAAAGGGGTCATTGAGTCATAAAGTTTATCTAAAATTTTAAATTTACTCTGCGCAATCGAATTTCAGGAAATGAGAGTAAAGTATACGTAATTTGAATTCATAAATACCAAAGAAAGACAAACGATAGAAACATGAATATAGTTTTCATTTCATTTCCATACAAGTGACCCTAAAAAGGTACATGGAAGTGTTGGTTCGTTGAAAACGCATGTTTGGGGTTCAGGAAGTGCATTGGGAGGAGGGACAGAGCCACCATTAGAGGGCGCCACTGCTTCTGATACACCAGTTTCAACCGATTTTTCTGGTAAAAAGATGATAATGGAGAAACAAGGGGAGGAAATCAAAGACAAAGATATCAATAAGACAATGTCGGTCGAGGAGCTGAACAAAAGAAACAATCAGATGAGCGTGAAAATCGAGGAGGCATTGTCACCGACTAGAGGGAGCAAATGTATGAACTGTAGTGTCTATCAACAATTAACATTTAGATATTAATAAAGATAATCACATTAAGATTGTCAATTTTCGCGATATTTTTATTTACATTAGGATAAAGTTTTGGTATTTTAAAAAAAAATATATTCTTAGATATTTTTGTAAACAAATTAGTTACTTAACATAATTTTGTAAAAAAAAAATTTAAATAAAATTAAATACTGTAATTTATAGTAACACATGTCTCCGATATTCAATGGAGATATCTAAAGAATGACTTGTGGTGTGAGTTTTCCCAGGATATCAATAGGAAAATAGAAAAGGCTTACGGTCGGAATAAGCAGGGTTCAACTATTCTTGATCTTGAAGAGCATGCGTATGTTTTGGTTTAATTTTTCACATCAATTTTAGTATGCTTTAATTTTAGTATGCTTTAATCTTGCTCAGGAATATCTTAGATCAATTTATATATGTTATATTACAGATGGAAAGTCTCCTTTTCTGATATGAAAATGAAATGTGAGAAAACAAATACAACTATGCAAGTTCAGCGGAATGGTAAGACAAAAATTATCCCACAAATTGGAACATTATTTCTATACATGAAATGTTTAGGATTGTATATAACTTGACTGGGAATAATTCCAGAGTTTATCAAGTTAAAGAATATTTCCATTATCGTTTTGACTTAATTTGTATTTTTATTTCATTTTTCAGAAATCAGTCAATGATAAAAAACGGAAAGCAGCGCATTGTGATAAATAAATTATTATAATAAGTTAATAAAGACTAATAATTGAGAGATGTTGTGATCCGTTATACCTTATTAGTACACGTAATTATTTTCCATCATGTTCAAAATTCCTTTAGACAAAGTATAATGTGTAAAGTTTGGCATTGTGTACTTTGGTGACAAATATTTTATCAGTATATGTTTTACAAGAATGGTGTTTTTTATGATCACAATGAGTGTACTTTAAAGAACAATCTACTAGTATATCGGCAATTAAGGCAAACAAAAGTGCAATTAATATAAGGGCTTCTTTTTTTCGGTAAAGTCTTAGAATACATGTTTATGTGATTGCATGTATGGTGATATATTTCAGGAAAAAAACTGTATAGCTCAGATAAATTGTATTCATTTCCTGAAAGTCTAAGTTACGCAAGATTACTAAATTATTTTATAGGGCTAAACAATTATTATTTGGCCTAGAACGACAATATTGCTTTATCATCGTGGTGATCCAAAAACCGCAATAACTGTCCAACATTAAGAAATACATTTTTACTTTTGATGTACCGGTATGTATATTCTCGAATAACTTCCTCTTCATGCGAAATATAAATTTAATCAAATACAACCTATCACAGGATCGTATTCTAAACATTGTTTGGTCAATGTTTATATGCTAATGACTAGGGAACTATTCCTTCTACCTGATCAGTAACTGGGACTGAAAGTGGATGTGACAGGTAGGCGGGAATGCTTACTCCTTCTAGTCACTTGATCCAACCTCTTTAATTTCCAAGGGCCTTGTTTATGCCCTGGTCACATATTTATATTGTTTATAGGTTCATTACAGCATGATTATGCATGATATGAATTGTTATATTAATTAGGGCCAAAATTGATAAATAATATTTAAAATATTAATTTTTGTTCTGATAGCTCCAGTTACAAAATAAAAAAAAGAATCCACACTCCCCATTTATTGTGATGTCCGTCAAGCAATTCACCACGCATTATAATTGGCATTTTCACGTGACAAAGGTCATGGGAATTAGAATTTTAAAGTTTACGTTATTTTGTACCTACATCAGTGTTTAAATTGATATAAACTTTGTACATATATATATATAGTTTTTGTTTTTTTATGAATTAACATGTATATCGTTTGTCCTGTTTCTTTATTTTCATATCACGTACTTCTTTCTTTGGATTAATTAATGCACTGGAAATTAAAGTACATGTATATATATGCGTTTTCGTTTTTATTCGATTTCTTTATTTTACATCAGTTTTGAACATTTTTAATATTCCTAACAACCAGAATGGACATGACTTACAATGTACCATATCTACATGAATATTGGATTCAAAAAATCATTACAAATATACATAAGGTTCCAGGAATTGTTTGATCAAGCCTCTTTCTTTACTCCTCACTAAAATATTAATAGTAATGAAGGAGAAACTTCAGGAGTGCTGTGCAACATCTTATAAAACTTATGAAAATCAGAAATATTCATTTGCCAAGAGAATATTTGAAATCTTAACAGCAAAACATTGACAAATTGACGTTGAATCTGTCCATGACTTTCAAAAAAAATCTCAAAATATCTTCATTTTTTATAATTCTCAAAATCTAAACTGTTTAGATGCCATTTTTTCTTTCAAACTATTAAAAATTGTATCTAAAGTTAACAAAAACACATACTTTATTATGATTGACCAGAGAATTCTAAAAAAAAAAACAGTCTTTTGAAGACGTACACCCATATTTGGAATATCAATTTTTTCAATCATTCATTGCAAAATGTTTAAAAAAGTAAAAATTAAATGGATGATATAGACTTAACATCATTAAGAATATATCTCAAGTTAGTTTGCTTTAAAGAAAATTAAAAAGTTTTAGGTCCATTAAAGCAATTAAGAATTTTGTATCTGTGTATGTACCTAATGACATATACATCCTATGGACCGAGTGCAAAGTGTTAATTTCCATAAATAAGGTATATTAAATGCTTTGTATGCACAATAAACTAAAATAAACAAGTATATACTTGTTTAATTATTTTCAATTACCCAAAAAGATTTTATTTCAATGGACATGTGATAATCAAAATTTTATATTGATGTGTAAAGTTAAAATCGGGTCTGTAAAAGTATGGGTCTTAGTTAAGTCCATGCTTTTTGATATCATTGACAGCTGCATTTTTGATGAGAAAGGAAATCGAAATATACTTAGCTTGTCATTGGTCATTTGCAAATTTTTTTTTTTTTTTTTTTTTTTAATCTTTAAAAGATATTTTATTTTGTACTATGGTTACAATCCGCACGAAATTGTACAGAATTTTTTTTTTTTTTTTTTTTTATCCATTGTATTACAAACAGAATCAAATTAAAATAACAGCAAAATTACAATGGATATTTAGCACTCACACACCCATCCATACATCCATTTATATTTTAAATTAATATGAAGGTTGCTTTATAATAATCAGTTGTCTTTATCATGTAATCTAATTTAAACAAACATCTAACATATACATGTGTAATCTTACGTACATTTGTTCAAAAATATTTTTCCAAAAAATCCACTGTTCTTCAAAATAATATAGATTTGAATTGTTGATAGATATGCATCTTTCAATATTGTATTTCATTTTCAAAGAGCTTAGTAAACCAAGAAGTGAAGGTATTTTTGGTTGCAATAAACATGAAAAAATATATTGTTTTGTGTATAATATCATAAAATTTTCAATTCTATTATCATTTATAAGTGGTAATTCACCTAAGATAATATTTTTAACATTAAATGCAATTCGTTTTGAAATTGTTCTGTATATATGTAAACTCAAGTTCCTCCATAAAGATATAATATGGTCACAATGAACATGTATTTGTTCAGTTTCTTGGGTACAAAACTTACAAACATCAGTAGTTTTTATATTGATTTTCTTAAGATAAGAATCTACAGGGAGGATCCTGTGTAAAATTCTATATTGTAACCACTTAGCTGCAGATCTGTAGCTCTCCGAAAAAAAAAATATTGATAGACCGGAGAGCTACAGTGCCACCCATTGAAAAAACTGTATATTTATTGCGCACAAAAAAATGCGCTCGGTTTTCGATTTATTTTCCATGTTTTTAAAACTGCAATCTCAAAGTATTACTAACCGTATGTTCCTAACACATTCTTTCGCTGTTTCCGAAACCAAACGTTCTTCATAATTGTTGTTAATAGTCCTCCTGATCCTGATATTGTAGTCATCGAACATTTCGTTTATTTATACTGCCATATTTTGGTTTCAAAGATAATTCGGTCCAATATGCTTCGTTCAGATGTCAACTACGAGAGTAAATTGATAAAGGAGAGAGGATTTTTTTGGAATCTTCCCTTTTTTGCGGTTGAGGTAAGAATTTGGAAGAATTAATCAAGAACCGAGCGCATTTTTTTGTGTGCAATAAATATACAGTTTTTTCAATGGGTGGCACTGTAGCTCTCCGGTCTATCAATATTTTTTTTCGGAGAGCTACAGATCTGCAGCTAGTAACCACTGTACAGAAGAATCAGAAGTAGTCAGAAGTAGTCTTAAAACAAACTTTAAAAACATCTTTTATACATATCTGTCACTCCAAAGGGAGATAAGTTTTGATTCCACTTTGGAATTGCTGTAGGAATTATATCATTTTTGCTTATATAGTTGTAAATTCTCTTTGTACATTTTTCATAGTGAAAAATGTTTTCAAAATAAAATGGTAAATTAGGCTGACAAAGTTTTCTCAATTTCATTCTATCTACTGACATATTCTTTAACAATTTAGAAATAGCAGAAATAGTACTCTTATACTGCATTACGCATACATTGGAAATACTGAAATTTTCTTGGAAGGCGGATTTTGATAAAAAATTGCAATCTTCTGACAAAAAATCCCCAATATTTTTAACTCCACTTTTATACCAATTTTCTATAAAAATACTTTTATTTTCTACCTTAATATTTGAATTATACCATACAGGAATATTGCAAGCCTTGCATTTCATTTCTACATCCTGATCTACATTCTTCAAAACATGTTGTCATGAAATAAAAACATCAAACCAGAAAATATTATTTTGAGGTATTAGACTATTAAGAATATAAGCATCACCAAAATCCATAAATTTGTTTACAACATCTCTACCATTAATTCCTAAAAATATGTCCAGCCATGGCTTACTCCTTACTCCTGATACCAATCTTTTGACCCATGTACATTTCAATGATTTTATGAAGTAATCAACATTTAACATTTTTAATCCTCCAGATAAATAATCTTGAGTAACTATATCTCTTTTAACTCTATCACTTAGTCATTTGCAAAATTGTTTTGTTAAAAAAATTCTGATTTAACACACAAGTACTCTGAAGTTGATATTTAAAAGATGCTTACAAAGACACTTACAAGCCTTTTCTTACTCCTCAATAAAATATTAACAGTAGTGAAGGGGAAACTTCAGGGGTGCTATGCAACAATATCTTTGAGCAGTGGTGTAACTCAGATATGGATACTTGAAAATTCCAAGGAACTTTTGGAAAATTTGAAATCACAAAATTTTACTAACATTAACAGCATTTAAACTTTCGATTTTTTAGCTCTATGTAACAGGGACGTAGCAACCGGGGGGGGGGGGGGGGGGCCATTACTTTTACTATAGTAAATGTTAATTGAAAGGATGGTTGCCCCCCCCCACTTTTTTCTATAGTATAGCGATATCAAGGATTGTAGGGAAAAATTGGAAGTGATAGTAAGTTGGCTTTGAAAAAGTTGGCCACTCCCCCCACCTCCCCGCCCCCGGAATAGGATTTTCGAGTTTGGGCAAACTTTTAATTTTCGTTTTTTTTTTTTGTTTTTTTTGCTTGTCAACTTTTTCAGGTAAGTAAAAAAAAAATTCTCTGGTTGGCCCCCCACTGTGTAAGGCCCATGATGAATTAAAGAATATAACACTTGCTGTGGCCTTCAACTCGACAGTTAGATATGTGGACGACGTATTGTCAATTAACAATGGTTATTTCCACTCTTATGTCAATACGATATATCCCGGTGAGCTTGAAATACAAGATACCACAGTGTCTGATGCATCTCTTTCATATTCAGATATATTACTTGAAAAAGATGTTTATGGTAATCTAACAACCAAGCCTTCTAGAAAACAAGATGACTGTAACTTTTCAAATTCCTTTACTTATGCAACAATATACCTTCGGGGTTTATATCTCTCAGGTGATTCGATATGCAAGAGCATGCTCTACGTATATATGAACAATTTTTAAAACGAGGTAAGTTATTGACAAACGAGTCGCTGAAACAAGAATATCAGCAGTCTCATTTAAAGTCATCATTCCGTAAGTTCTATGGTCGATACAATGACCTTGTCAGCGAATACAATTTATCATTAACTTAAGTCAAATGCTGACCGACGATTTTTATTCTAATTGTTAGGCCATTATTAACACTGATTATCGACGGATTTGTCCGTTATTTCCCGATCATGACAATCAGCACAGGGCGGGTGAGGCCAGTCGGGAGGAGATGCTCACTCCTCCATGGCACTTGGTCCCACCTCTGTTGTTTTAGAGGTCCGTGTTTGCTCTGCTCCTATTTTGTATTTTAATGGACTTTTGAGGTCGAACACTGAACATTATCTCCATATATTTCACCTGTTCATGCTTTTTCGTCTTCTCAAAACTTTTCGCTAAAGCCTTAATCAGGAGGTATCAGTTTCAATTCTCTTGCCTTGCGCTTTGTCAAACCGAAAACAATTTTAAAAAAACATCCGTTTAACGTATTGAGAGACACTGGATTTCATTGGATGACAGCTTTCAATATTTTCAATCATTTAAGTTCAATAAAATTATTAAAGAGTATAAAAAACAAAGATATCTTCAGTTATACATTTTATACAAATTGATGTACAAAATATAAATAAATTATGAAATTGTTAAACTAAGATTTTTTGAGTTGAAATATTGTTCAAATATAGTTAGTCTTTAGATCGTTTATCCCCATCACAGATAATATTCGCTATATTAACTTTTAAAAAGAAAGTGATTGTTCTTTGATTATATGATTTATTGATACAAGCATTCCTTGTCGTCTTTTTCTCTTTGTTTGATTTATATTTTTACCTATAATTTAGTACTCTACTTTTTTTACCCATGACGTCCAATCCCTATTTAAGAAAAATATTATATTAACTATAGCTAACATAAGTTTACTGAAGTTAATTCTAGTTGACTATACATGTAGTTAAGTATACAGTTTAGTTTACTCTACGTACAAGTATCTAAAATTAACTATAGTAAATCAAACATTTATTTCTACAGTAAATAATTTTTTTGTTATGATTAAGTTATTAATTTCACAAAAGGGTATTATCCAGTTTTGCAGATTTTCTTAATTAACGAAAGATATCTGTTGATATGATTCTACGCACTTTGCATGAAATTCAATTTCCTAAGTTAATTTTAGGTATTTTACTTTTAATCATTGTTTATTACTATATAACATTTTTTAAAAAAATACTATAAATTTGTATTTTATTCAAATTGGCCTTTTTTTTAAAGATAAAAGTAAATAACATCATTTGATGAGGAGAGTATATCAAAAACACGTATAGAGTAGTTATCTTATATACAAGGAAATCATATACATGTATATTTTAGTCATAAATGTTTCTATGTTATCATAGTATCAAAGTTCTGACTACTAGTATATTAAATCAAAATGAGTGAACAATTCTCGAGAGGGATGTTAAACAATATACAATCATAGTTTTTACTTTAGTAAATGAAATGAAGAAGGCGGGGTTGGGGTGGGGGATCATTTAGTGAGCTCAGTGCTCACGGTACCTCTTGTTTTCTAATTGTATCAAAGAAGAAAATCATCGTGGTGATCTCAAAATAGTTATAACTGTCAATATTAAGAATTAAAATACTTTTTAATTCTAATGTATACAGGTTTCAGAAATACATATTTTTCGAATGAAATATAAAAGCATCTCTTTTTGTAGAAACTTTTTGAAAATCAAATTCAAAAAAATATGTAGTACATAAGTTAACATATGCTGCTTGTATCTAAATTTATACTGAACAAACTAACAATGGATTACAAACAAGGAAGGTTGGTGATAATTGCAGTTCCAATGAGAAGTTAGAGCAGATTTCCTCGTATTGCATGTGAGTAAAATGGAAAGTCGCAGGGATGAAATGATGTTTAAAATATTCTTACACCTGCTTTCGATTTGTGCGGGTATGGAAATTTACATCGGCTATTTTTAGTGCAAGTTTTTTTTCATTAAAATCCTCGATTGGACCCCGCACTGAGGTGAGACAGTATCATTTTCTTATTACAAGATTACTGATTTCCTTTTCATTATTTCCGGGAGTGCCAATAGAAAGTAGTCAGTAGATATTTGTAAAGTTTTTTTTTGATAACATTAAGATAGAATATTTCCAGTTATACGTACACATTTTTTCTGTTAAACTTTTAATTTCTATAGTACCTGTGATGGAGAGGGGGATCGATTACCGTTCGTCGCGTCATATTAAACTTAAGATATCAGCATGGGAAGTGACTGGGTCTTGGCCAAACGCATGGCTCGCGGATGGCACGAAAGACGGTGGTACGACAAAGAACTCTCACTGCATTGGTCCCGAGAATACATGTAGTCTAAAATTGAAGCCCTTCGCCAGAATACGGTGACTTCTCTTTATAGCGAGCGCAGAAAATTTCGAATTGGTGTAAATTATATACGCTCGCTAACCATTTCAATCTGTGTAACGTGTATGAACAGAGGAAATTCGGATTGAAATCTGTACACGTCAGCCAAATTTCTGACATAATACAATTAATTTACTTTCAGAATTCCTGCACTACCAATGTCCTTTGCGCGAATAAATCAAAAATAGTAAAAAAATTAAAGGAACATTGTTTCTTACCGAAATCTTAACGAAATGATTTAGCCTTACCTTATTCAAAAAAATACCCCCATGCCACAACACCGGCCTTCACCTTGCCCTTCGGAAATGATACAAATGACGTCACCGGAAACTTACATTTTTAGACGAAGTTATGTCGGTTGCTTCCGTGAAACTCGGAAAACATGTTGCGGTGCATAGCAACAACTTACTTGAAAAGAACGATTAAATGCAATCTCTTTTCCGTAAAACTAGCGTTTGCGTCCTAAGTCAACATAACTTTTTATCTGACGTCATACTTTCGTCACTTCAACGGTTCGGGTATTTCCGATTTTGTCGGAAACTTCCGAGAAGTTTGGAATCTCGAATATATGGGAAATGATTTCTTTTTATTGTTTTGTTTTATTCTTTTTGCTTTTTTTTTTTTTGAATGATAGACAGTACATGTGTAGATTTATGATAGTAAATAAACTGCGCTCGCCCCAACGGTCACACCGTAAAACATATTAAATGAGAAAATTTCGAATTGGTATAAATTATATATACTCGATTCTCATTATATCGCGGATTCCATTGTATCGCGGTATATGCCAAAAAATCAGATACATAGCTCATATCCTTTTTGTTGAAAAAACTATATGTCTGTCGTCTGAATGTTAATTTTTGTGATGATTAAAAAGTATGGAACATGCGTCGGAAAAGTTTTTATTCAAATAAAACGTAATTTTACAGATTTCCATTCCGATTTTATTATATTTAGACCACTGAACTTATTATCTAGTAAAACCCATAATAAAGTCAATGTTTTGAAAGTCTTTAGTTTGTATAATTGTTTATTCTTGATGTAGAATTACATCGTAAAATTAAAAATAAGAATTGAAGTCCATGTCAACTATAAGTTTCCATGTTTGCTCAAACCGCGATACTATGAAACTCTCCAATTTAGGAGGTAAATAAGACTTCCTGTTTTAAACATAGACTACAAGTTAACGATGCAAGCTTGGGAAATAATTTGACACAAAAAAGTTAGGCCATAGTTTGGTTTATGAATATCATTTGATGAAAGTTAAAGTAAAAAATTGTAAATTACAATTTTTATGCAAAAGTTTTAAGTACCGCGATATAATGAGACACCAGTATACATGTACAATCAATCAATCTAACCATTTCAATCTGTGTACCATTTGTGTACATGTACCATTTCGTAGAAACAAAAAAATAACACTGCAGAATCATATTACTGACATAATACAATTAACTTGCTTTCATTTTTAAGACATATCATGGCCTCATTGTTCTAATGTATAACATGAGCAAAGAGAAGCATACCCTGGCAAAGAACCCCTCTGTAAATCAAGGCAGCATTCAAATCGATCCCGATGCAAATTTTGTCACTTCCGTTTCGCACAGGACAAGCTAAAAAACTCACAAACTGATACACACACACATGCACACCACCTACTCACACTAATCCACAAGGGCTTTAAATAGTACCCCTGGTATAACATAGAATGTTTAAGATACCTGTAGTGATTAGAATGTTCTAGATTAACAAGTCACTTCATGTATGTTGTATTAATTAGGCATAACAATTTACAGAAGGTAAGAAAAACTCTTTTAAAAATCAATCTGACTGTCGTGTGACCAAAGGGAAAAGGCAATAAAAGTAATTTGACTAATTAATTTAAAGTGTTCTATTTCAGAGGGATACATGTAGCACTTGGATGAGCATATAAAATGACGTCATCCAAAATCGTGTTTGAGCAGGTAAGAACAAAAAAATAATACATCTACTTTTTAAGAATATATCAAATTTTTTAAAAAGTAAAATATAAAATGCCAATTATCAGTTCTATTATTTAAAATTACAGTTGAGGGTGTTGACCGGAAAACTTTCTGAATTGGAAAATTCTAACTCTGCATTACTAAGTACATTGAATGAAAGAGATGGGTAACTGATACTTAAAAATCAATAAATCATTGAGATAAATGTACTTTTTAAAGCAAAAAAAATTATCATTGTAGATTTCTGAAACTTTAATAATACTATATGATCTAAATTTTCTGTAGGCCTGGAAATCAGGTGATGAAACCAACAATAACAACAGGTAAAAGCTGCCTTGTATCCAATGGTCGAATTATATATACATGGTGATGTAGAGATTTTTAAAAAAAGGCTAGAATAGCTTAAGCAATTTTTTTTCAAAATTATCATTAGTCTTCTGACAAATTGTTATTTTACCTAGACTTAAACAGAACTTTGGACATATTAAGAGACCAAACCAGGAAAAGCGAAACAGACTTGAAAACTTTAAAAGATACCCTATCCATTTTGAGTGATCGAGTACACGAGCTATCCACAACTGTCAAAAATCGTTCCCAAAGGAATAATCAAAATCTGGAAAGTAATCTAAGAACTCAGAAGAAAAATGAATCATTAACAACTGATACAAAAAGAAAGCAAGAAATAAAATCTGCAGAATCGGAGAGGTGTGTCGCATATACTTGTGCGTCAGAAGTAAATGATTCTCCAAGGAATGACAGCAATATTACGATGAAAGCAAAGGCAAAAGATCAACAAAATGAGCTCATACCGAAAAGACAGCTTTTGCAGAACATTTCTATAAAGACAAATACTGAAGGAAAGCCATCATTACAATTGAATACTTATGGACTGAGAAGCAGGGCAGTGTCACCTGACATTGATAATCGTGTTCGTTTGATAAAGGGAAAAAGCATTGAAAAAGGTCAAGAGATGTCAAGATCGGCCTCCACAGATTCCTCTAAATCCGATGCTTCTGGAAGAGAAAAGACAGTAAAAGAAAACCTACAAACGGCGGACAATTTGAAGCATCTTCCAGATGAAGAACAGATAAAATCAAAGAAAAAACAGTGAGTTTTTCAGTTGCTATTTTCAATGAATATAAGAAATAAATTTAGATCACGACCTTTAATATTTTTCAAAAAATATTTTTTCAGAACGACATATCATCCATCAATAAAAAAGAACGAGCATAAAAACCTTGGTAAGGATTTTTCGATATTTTTTTTGAAATGGCGCCTACTAATAGTATTCTCCACCACTAAAATTTTTACTGTGGTTGAAAACGCGTGAGCAGGGCCATATTCGGAGGAGACAAATATCGTAGTAGTCTTTATAACACACAAATCTAAATTATTTCAAGATGAACATTTACATCTCTCTTCCAACTGGACCAGTTAATTCTACTTTGACGCAAGGATTTTTTCTACTTTGGCGCCAAATATTTTATATATTTTTTATGATCATGATCAAAAAAAAAATTCTAGTAAAAATCCCTTGATACAGACGTTACCATAAATTCCTGGTAAATTGGCTGTATTTATTAGTGTAATTTTTTTTCCAGCGAGTGTAGACAAAGACCCAAACGCCGTTCCTGACATCAGAGATCTTAACAGCTGGAGAACTTTGGCTGAAGCAGAGAGAAAAAGGGGCAAGTCCTAGTATATATGAATGTATCTGCATTTTTTTTTTATGTTTTAACATTGGAACAAAAGTGTAAATATATCATTTCTTAAAGCATTCATGATTGAATGAGTTAGAAATATAACATACATATTCTTTAATTGTAGGTCTATCTTTGCATTCGCTACCAGTTGGAAAGGGGCCTGATACTTGCTTGTTGCTAGATATATCTGGTAGTATGGAGGGGGAAATGTTTAATGAGATGATGGCGGCAGTTAGAACGTTTATTGATGGTAATCAATAAATATAATTTATATATAAATTCACCCTTTTTTAAGAGAGAAAAGCAAGCAGTAAAGTATACACTCGCCCTTTTTCTTCTTTTTATTAAAGTATAATTGATATGTGTACTTTTGGTTACCTTTTACACCATAGGTATTGCAGGAGTTGCAGCAGTGTTGGGTATAGAAGAGAATATAGGCATCGCAACATTTGGAGCTCAGACAACAGTAATACAGCATATGTCAAATGACTACGACCGAGTAATCAAGACTCTTGGTAAAAATATTTTCGACGAAGGTCTACATTATATAGTATGTCGGTACGCATTTTACCAATCTAATTAATATTAGATCTTTGATCCGCTCCAGTTAGATCGCTACACTTTGTGAAGCAATATAACTGGAGCAGGTCAAATATCTAATTTTAATGAGATTGATTGGCATTTTACACTTTAAATATTGCTTACGTCCTTCAAAACAGATTTATTGACACCATCCGGGCCTTCACCCATGTCAGCTGGTCTTTACATGGCTATGGCTTGCTGTTTAGGACACGGTATGATCAATATAACATTTTGCAACCTTTCTAAAAGGAATAAAATAAAGCCGAGAATAAAGGTTACGGTCGATTAGTATATTTCTTTACTAACATTTCCAGTTGGAAAAACCTCAATAAAGAATATAAGGATTAGACCCAGGATTATCATGTTCAGTGACGGCAAAGGCACACTTGACACGAGAGTTTCTGGTGAAGACGACTTTCGCTCAGAATCAACAGTTTTGGTATGGTCATTTAATGGACATGAAAAGGACATTTGCAATTACATATCTCAATTTAAAATTACATATCATTCTTGTACATTATACATATAGACAGCTAAATCTAAAAAAAAATTAGACTGGGAAAAAACCTTTGGGGAGGAAACTGTATATTGATACTAGTACAATAAATTTTTATGTTGTTGTCTTTGTGATATTACTGGAAAGCTTATCATTATCACAGACACGCATGTGGTTAAATGAAGCTGCTGAAGATCTGGAGAGGCGGCATTTTCGAGTTTATCCCGTGTGTTTGACGAAAACAACCCCGGTATGTTTTTTGTTTGAAAATTTATTATTACAGAAAACAAAAGATATCAAACTGCTCTTGCAAATGCTTTAGAATAGTGACATTTTAAAAAAAAAAACTATTTTCAACTTAATATTATATGTAAATGTATTTCGGGGGAAAATGTTTTTTTTTATGTATACAAAATTTTATTCACATAAGTGAAAATGTTTGCATTTAATTCAAAAATACAATTATTATAAACACATTAAAGTTTCTGGTTGCATTTGTATTAAAAATTTATTGAATTATTTAAAATTCTTAAAGCTACATTCTCTGCATATAAACAAGCCAGTTCAAACACAGGGGCTTCTGTATAGAAAATAAATCAGTTCATATCCCTTGAGAATTTTTTTTTTCTTGAAGGTCTTTCTTGCAGTTTTAATCTTTGTTTGTCTACATTTACAGTCTTAGTCCATTTCTAGAGTAAAAGAGTTTTCTGAAGAAATTTGGAAAAAGTGAAACCAAACTATCTTCAAACAGAATAACAAGGAAATTAAATAGCAGTCATTGATAAAATGAAAACATCTGAGTATACCATAACCAATGAAATTTTCAAATATTTCGGTTTGCGGGTTGCAACTGTGTTCTAATTGACTGTAAATCATCTTCTTTTACAATGTACCTTCATAAAGGTGTCAGGTCATTTCTCTCTTAAACTTTTTCTCTCCCAGGTTATTTCTCTCTCCTACCATTTCACGGTAGGTCATTTCTCTCTCCTACCTAGGTCATTTCACCCCATTTTTAATCTTGTCTTATTATTTACAACTCCATCTTTTGTTTTATCAACTCGTATCTGGTCAATTAATTTAATGTTATTAATTTATGACTTATAAAAACTATACCAGAGGAAGTCTGCCGTTATCTTATTTACAGGAAAATAATTTTATTATTTTGTAAAAACAATTTGATACCGTTGCCCAGCCCTTGCCACGTGGAGGCCTCCTCATTAAGAGCCATAATTTTGAAAGAAAAAATTTACAGCCAAATTTAATGAATTTAATAAAATTGTTTTTTATCTAGTCTAATATAATTATATACAATTCTATTTTGTGTTATTAACTCACACCTGAACAATTAATTTAATTTTATTAATTTATGACTCATAAAAACTATACGAGAGGAAGTCTGTCGGTATCATATTTACAGGAAAAAATAATTTTATTATTTTGTAAAAACAATACCGTTGTCCAGCCCTTGCAACGTGGAGGCCTCCTCCTTAAGGCAATAATTTTGAAAGAAAAATTTACAACCAAATTTAATAAACTTAATAAAATGATAAATTTATGCCTTAGCTGATAATGAAATTTTGTCTATGAAAAAAATATTATAATAGAAAATGAAGAAACTCGAAACTAAAGAAAATTAAATATCTTTTTAATTAAAAATTTACTTTTATCGATTGACTTCATAATGTTCAGCGTTACAACTATGTAGAATAAAAAATAAATCAGATTCAAATTACATTCTGTCACTCTAGATCTTAAGACAAAAAGGGAGAAAATGAAAATAAAAATAAACTAAAATATCTTTTATTAGAAAAAGGGTACCTGTATATCTAGAAACCATGTATGTAAATATTTACATTAAAAGTAAAGCCCTGAGACAAACCGAGCGACACTAAGTCACGTGACATACTTTCGTTTTCTGCAGAAGCCAACATCACAGTCCGGAAATGAAGTTTTACACACAAACACACAGAATGTTAGAATTTACGACATTGACATTTATCCATATGATCTTGAAATAAAAGACTTAAAGGGGTCTTTCTTATGCCAGAGGAAGTTGTGGTATAAAATGTCATTGAAAAAAGCTCAAAAGGCTTCTCGAGATCTCGCGCATACGGACAGAACTTTTGAATTTATGACCTTGATCTTTTAGAACTCAAAATCGATAGGGGTCTTCCTTCGGCCATAGGGGGTTGAGAAAAAATTGCGTAAAAGGAACGAACAGACAGACCGACACTAATATCCCCCACTTTCAAAAGGGGACAATAAATTGATAGGTAACATTATTGAAATACTGAAGTGATCCCCCTTGTAATTTAGTGCTACGGCCAAGAAAAATGTACCAAAATATCAAATGATAGGAGTTAAGTTAATTCCACTCTCCTATGATGTCATAAGATTTTGCAGAAAATGTAATTAGTTTTAATTCATACCTCATAGAACAATATCTTTTGGAAGAATGCTTTACAATAGGTGTAATGATAAATATTGTTAAGTAAAAGAATTTAAAAAATATTATTTTCTTTATTTAATCAATTATTCAATCTATAAAAAATGTTGACAAGGGCAATAACTCTTTCTAGGGTAACTTCATTCAGGCATTTGCTTTATTGTACTTCTGATGTAAAATAGTTTTCCTGATATTCACAATTCAAAAGTATTTTATAAGTAGGAAGTATTTAGGAACATTCAGCATTAGAATTATGCATTTTAACCAGTTTTTACACATTTTTCATAATACTGTTTACAAAAAATGACATTGTGCGATTTATTTGTGTTGTTTATTAATGTTTTGCATCTTAAATAATATGGTGACCTATATATTTTTTGCAATAATTAAAAAATTTAAAGTATATTTAATGAAAATAAATGCAGTTTTTGTACTTTGAATTATTAAAATTGTGAGGGTGGAAACACCCTAAATGTGTTTATTATTTGAAAATATCAAATAACAAACGTGCAACATTTTAAGAAAGGATTCCTTTTTGGTCTCAAATTTTACTAATACATGTAAAACAGTAAAGTTGAAAAAAATAAATGTATGAGTAAACAATATGAATAAACAAGTGTTGGTTTAAAGCTTTCCAGAGACGGTTACAATTTTAATTTGTAATGTTCCAGGACATGATTTTGGAAGTTTGTAAGAAGACACATGGCAAGATGTACAAATCTTCAGAAATCCCCAAGCTTGTTCGAATGACACAAAATATGGTCAGTGCTATAAACCATCAACTTTTAGTTTTTATAATTATGAAGTTTCTGTAAATTCTAAACAACTTTGACTCGTAATTTTGGGTATGTATTAATGATGAAAATCATGTACAAAATCAGAAAAGAATACGAATCTCTCTTTAAGATAACGACAGCAAGAATCATTTTGATTTATTGCATTCTGATTTGTGAACTGCAAATGTACAATCTGCTTTGACAATTTACATACTATTCAAAAAAGTAGGGGATATTGGATTTACAGGGACAATAAATTGCAGATCATGAGGTCTGGAAGGGAACAAATGACTGAAAAAAATGAAGAAAACAGTTTTCTTTTTTTTTCAAAACCCTGTGTACTGTCAGAAAATAACATATTCTCCAGAATAAGGGTCGACACCACCACAGGGTCAGACAGCAAATACACCACCATAGTGAAATAGAGTCAGCAGCGGGTAAAACCCCCTTGGTTGGCCAAACAATTACCACTGCGATCTGTCTTGTGCCAAACTCTAGAATGCCAAGGGCACGTAACCTCTCATCCTGTGTTAGACGGCGCATGATCTCTGTTTAATTAACGACTTCAACAACTGATTATCTGATGCTTTCACGTAAAGTAGCTTTAAACTTCTAATTCAGAGGCATTCAATGTTGTGGCACAACATCCTTGATCATCAGTAGCATTTCGTGCAGATCTTGATTGATGTGTCTGGGTGATGTTTCTTTGGAAATGCTTCCTCGTTATGAAACTGTACAACATGGTTTCGTATCCCTTTGTTTATTTGAAGATTTTAATCACAAACTACAGTATCCCCTACCTTTTTGAAAATATACATGGAGGATATGTAGAATTTCCTAAGAATTTCAAATCATTTATTTACAAATGTTTTGGTCGCCGGCAGGGCTCAATGATAGAGCTTCTGCTCTAGAGTCGCAAAGTAGGGAGTTGATCCTGAAGTCAATAATTCAAATCCCGCTTTGGGAAGTGGAGACAGGGCTTCCGATAATCCGTATAAACCAAGATCTCATGTTGCCATAGATGCTGAAGTAGAGAAGGATATGGAGATAAAGAACAGTATTCAATGTCAAAGTCCATAAAACAATACAAAATAGGAGCAGAGCAAACACGGACCCCCGAAACATCAGAGGTGGGATCAGGTGCCATGGAGGAGTGAGCATCCCCTGCTGACTGGTCAAACCCGCCGTGTGCTCCTTGTCATGATCGGGAAAGAACGGAGAAATCCGTCGTCAATTCATTGTATAAATAATGGACAAACAATTAGTATGAAAAACGTCAGTCAGCATTTGACTCAGTGATAAATTGTATTTGCTGACAATGTCATTGTATCGACCATAGAATTTACGAAATGATGACTTAAACGAGACTGTTGATATCCTTGTTTTATCAACTTGTTTGTCAATAATTTACCTCGTTTTAAAAATTGTTCATACGTAGAGCATGCTCTAGCGTATCGAATCAACTGAGATATATATACTCCGTATGCAGGTGATGAAGGTATATTGCTGCATAAGTAAGGGGAGTTGACGATAGAAAAGTTAAAGTCATCACGTTTATCATATAGTTTGGTTGTTAGATTACCAGTAACGTCTTTTTTCAAGTAAAATATCCAAGTATGAAATATATGTGTCAGACTCTGTGGTATCTTTCATCTCCAGCTCACCAGGATATATCGTATTTACGTATGAATGGAAAGTTAATTGACAATACGTCGACGATATATCTAAATGTCGAGTTGAAGGCCACAGCAAGTGTTTTCTTCTTTTCACTCATTAGATTTTGCACAAATTCTGCTTTTATATGAATATAAAAATAGGTCTGCTAATAACGGAGAGCAATTGATACCAATGGGAATTCCCATTGATTGTTGGAATACCTGGTCTCCAAAAGCCACACAGATATTGTCAATCAGAAACGCAAGCATCTCTTTGATGTCAACTTCAGAGTACTTGTGTGTGTAATCAGAGTGTGTTTTAACAAAATAATTTTGCAAATGACAAATGACCAGGTACGTAAATTTACGAGTTCTATTTTTATTAAAAAAGCAGCTATCAATGATTTAAAAAAAACCTGGATTTAATTTATCGTAGAGAATGGGTAGAGACTGGAGTGCTTTCATTTCCTATATTAAAATTTCTTTTTAAGAATCTAAGTATTGAAAAACAAGCTTTGTGAAAATGCAGTGTTTATGAATTTTTGCACAAAACATGCGTATTTGACTACATTCAGCAAAGAATTAAAATATGAGCACAGCCCACGATCCAAAAATTAAAACATGGTTTTTAATCATCAAAAACAGATCTTTCATGATGTAATATATTTTGGATCAGAGGTTGTGCTTAACATGAAATATTGAAAAAATTGCTTCAGTTTTAGGCCATTTTCACACGAATTTACAGGATATGAGGAAATGACGCATTTTGTGACGTCATTATGCATTGACTAGAGGGAAAATTACGTCATGTTCGATAGATAAATGGTTACAAACTGTCCAAGTGATAAATACGGCATTTTCAATCGAAACTAAACAGTTTTGATTTTTCAGAAATTCTCAGTGCCAAAAACGGCTATAAGTGGCTCTTGCTCTTTGCAGCTCTCCATCGGCAAGTAGTGGCGTCTCCATATGATTGAAAAATTCTCGAGAGGGACGTCGAACAACTAACAAATTACAAATATGTGTGAATAGACATTTCGCATTGTCTATTTCAGTATGCATTTTCCCAATTAGACACATAAATGCTTGTATTTTATATACTAAATTATAGTCACAAGCTATTGGGATGATTGACAGAGGAGTTGATTTTGAAGAGGATAACATTTTTTGGAGGAATAAACCTGGAATGTCAGAAAATCCACTTTTGAATGACTTTGGTTTTGATGAAGATAGGGTGAGTATTTATTCTTTAAAAAAATTATAAAGAAGAATAAATGAAGAATTCTTCATTCACGTTTCTTCATAATATTTTCATATAAGGTTTCTGCAATTTACATTACTCTCGGAGTGGTCTTCTACATACCATTTTAATTTATCGATAAACAGCAGTTACTTCCATTTGTTTGTCGTCTCCATCTATCCCAGTGAAATGAAAAAAAATAACTACAATGACAAAGTCAGAGTTGTTTCTTATTTGAATATTTACCGGTTACAGACGATAATGGCGAAAAAGAGGAGGACTGACTTCAGCTTTTACATCATTAACGTCCTTAAGTTTTGTAGCTGTATTCTCAATTACCTGTTTATGATGCTTATGTCTCCTATCCGATTCTATAGACAAGAGGATGCTCTCAATACATTAGATTTTTCAGTACAAGTTACTGACTAATAAGTTGATGCTAGAAGTGTTTAAACAACACTATCTATGTCTTATTTTTTTCTCTGCCGTTGGTAAAATGAATTGGACCGAAATGCAGTAATGGTCATGATTGTAATAACATTATATCGGTAGATCCTATTTGGTTGGTATGTTTCATACCTTTTCTGAGGTCATTGCAAAAATACTTTATTTGACTACGAAGTATTCCGTCTGCCTGAGCGTTTAAAGGGCTCATGGCGGTAATGACTCATCGTCAGGTGGTTCTTTCCACTCCGAAACATCTACTCTTACCTCTGTAGTTTCCAGTGGACTTTTGCGAAGAGCGCTGACGTTTACAGTTGACGGATTACTTTTACACTTGGACTATGAACAGAAGCTCTTTTACGATATTAATATTTAGCTAAACATTTCAACAGGTTATTTCAAAGCACATGTACACGTAACTTACCCTAGAAGAAAACGATTATCATCCCACCCTCAAATTCACATGTTAGTGTCCCTAACTCCATACATATGACCACTTTCTTATCTATAATCAATTCTGTTCCTCAGTACATGATACAGGTTTAGTCAACCGTCAACTGTTAAAGGCTGTGCTTCTCGCAAAAGTCCAGTGGTTTGAGCTTTTGCCATTTTTATGAATGTGCCCATTACTGCATTTATAAGATTAATTACTGTTTGTTACCTTCACTTTTACAAGGAGGAAATCTCTCATTTGGGAAAATACCTAAATGACCACGAAACTTCAAATTTTCATAAAGAGTACAAAGACAGTAATCTACCTGCTCTCGGTGCCAGGGTTAGAAGGGGCCCCGACTGGATGTGGAATGACCAGGACCAAGGAGGTCCGGGAACTGTTGTAGGACATGACGGTAATGGCTAGCGTGTTGTGTTTCAAAATTAATTATTAACATCAGTTTGCAGGAACAATTGTTTTAGGCTGAATCGGGATTTTAATTAAAAATTTACAATATTTGATATTTATTTCAATTACCTAGGTTTGTAGCTAGATTTCTTCATTTTGAACGTCTTTTGCAATTTCTTGAATTTGACCATGCCTTTTATAATCTCTTGAAAATACTTTGTTGATACTTTATGTATAGGACATACGTCTGTTTGGGTTGTGTGGGATTGTGGACACCTGAACACCTACAGATGTCATCCGTTCCTTGGTTACGACATCTTGTTAGTGGACGAACCGCGGGTTCCGGAAAGGAGCCGTATTGCTGTAGGCTGTCTGGTTGAGCGAGGTTGTCCATTCGATTTTTTAAGTAACATTACGATCTACAATTAAAAACTTCTATTACACATCCAAATTAGAACTGTATGGACAAATACCCCCGCTAGGTTTTTCAGAATAGGTGACAAGTCAAGAACTTTTTCTTTCAGTTACCTTGATCTTGCACAAATGACCTTGGGTCAAGTCATGTCACACGTTCAGGTCACAAGCAATCTTGGTACAAAATAGGAACAAATCAATTTTATCCATAAGAAAGTTGAGGATCAGAAACAAATATTGCTGTTTTTCATTTAGTGGTCTTGAACTTTTGGTCAAAGTCATGACACATTCTCAGATTATAAGATGTTTGTGAAGTAGTAGATTCAAATTTGTGTGTAAGGAAGATATGTACTAAACACGAATTATGAACCTTTGCTTTCATACCTTGAACTGGCATAATTGACCATGAATCAAGTTCATGACACACCCTCAAATTATAGAGAATCTTTGTGTAAAATGGGAACTCACTAGGTTTATACATAAAAAAGATATTGGCCGCACATGAATTATGACATTTTTCTTTACTGTTCGTTATCTCCATATGTTTCATTTCAGTGCCCTGGAACTTCCCAAAATGACATTGAGTCAAGGTCATGACACACCCTTAGTTCATGAGCAATCTTTATTTGAAGTTGATTATAATGTTCCTCCATTAGAAAGGTATAGACCGGACACGATTACAGACTGACGGATAAGGTGATTCCTATTTCCATAATCTATTTTCGGGGGATATAATGAATGTTCAAAAATTTCAGGTGAACATTGGAGGGATGAAAACAAAGACGGAGGAATTGGAAACGTTGGGGTTGTCATTAACATAAAAGAAAATGGAAGAGTTCTTGTAAGATGTTTTTATTTTGATGCCCCCGTAATCGAGGATTCTTGTGTCTCTAATTTTTGTCCTCTCTATCTGTATGTCTGTCCGCAAAAAACTTTAACCTTGTCCATAACTTTTGAGTGGGTAAGGCTATGGATTTCATACGTGTATTTCTTTTGATGAGACCTTTCTTTGGTATTACCAAATCTGACCTCTTGATCTTAAAGTTTGACTCACCTTTACCAAAAAATTTAGAACTTTAATCATAAACCATAAATAGCTTTAACTTTTAAATAGTTGGCTTTCATACTTCACATTTATATTGAAAAATATTTGACAGTTTAATTTGACCTTTTAGTTTATCTCACTTTTAAAAGCTTTGGCCTTGACCATAACTTTTGAACCGTTAGTACTGCGGCGTTCATATTTCACGGGTGTATTCCTTGTGCACTCGTGACAAGACCTTCCTTTGGATACCAACAATTTTGACTTTCTGACCTTGACCCTAGAGTTTAACCCACTTTAAAAATCTTCAATATTGACCATAATTTTTCAACCGATAGTACGAGGACTTTCATATTTCACAGCTGTATTGCTTGTGAGAATAATTTCCTAAAGGTACCGATAATTTTGACCTTAACCTTGGAGTTGCATTTGTTAAAGAAAACGAAAAGAGAGATCAAAAGTTAACATATTCGATGAATTTTTGCTGTATAATTTTATGGATTTTCATAAAATAATACTTATTTGGGAAAACAAAGAGAGATAACTCTAAGATTTTGGCAAAACTTGTTTTTTAAAATACCTTTCCTTCTCGTGTCACAAAATTTTTTACAGTTAATATGGACTGTTATTTCACAAATACATTCCAAAGCTTTTTGTGTGAATCCCGGGGGGGAAGGGGGCATATGTTAATTGATTAAAAAAAACGACAAAAATGCTCATTTTCCATCATTTCCATGCGATTTACAACTGAAACATTATATTTTATTTATATATATTTATGTTTGTTTTGTTTTTTTTTTGTTTTGCCTAAAACATAACAAAAGATATATGGAACATTTAATCATAACCAAGGCTATTTCAAAATATGGTGATGCCTGAAAGTCCGATTTCAATGGGAAATTTCGTATACTCCCTTTTTTCAAGAGCTAGAGGTGTGGCTAATTTACCAAATAGCGCTGGTATTATGGTGATTCATCAATTTCCATTGAACTGTTCTTTGTATTAAAACAATGAATGTGTTGACAAATTGCCATTTTTATTGAATTAAATGGTTACAAAATGTAGGCAGGAATCAAGAGTTAGCTTGCGTATTTCTTTCAACTCTCGTCACAAGCTGCCATACGGGCGCATCAGAGTTTCGCAAACACATCTTTCTTTTATTTAGGGTTGTCTATTAGTTATTGTTTATGTAAAACTTCAAAACATTTCCCAATAATTGTTTAGCGTAGTCATATAGTATATAATAATGTTTGACTTGTAGGTAAGATGGCCAAACATGGAAAAGGGCCGATACAAATTTGGATCTGACGGATTGTTTGAGATAAAATTATGGTGAATATAATAATTTGATTTGAAGTTCAATTCAAATTAACTTGTTAACATGATTTCAAAATGTTGTTGGGTGTATTTTGGGACGCAGTGTTGTTCAGTATTTTCTATAAAAGTAAAATTTCACAGTAAATGTACTGAAAAGAAAAAGAAACTCATAGTAAACTTTTGAATTACATTAAAACTATTATTTCGAATAAGTTTTCCTGTATTATTATCAAACATTTTAATTCATCTTAAATCAACAAATTTACCAAAATCTTGTGTGACTTTGACTGATAATTCATGAGTTACTGAAATTGATATGTCGATACCCCAAAAAAATTAAAATAAAAATTCTCATAATCTCCCTTGTACATATCAGTAATATCAGATTTTCCTTTGAATGAGTTCAACAGAGCATTCATCTTTCTCATAGGATTATTTTTCAGCCCTTCCGACGGTAGTCTTAATGGTTAAGAGTACCTGTAACATTACAAAGCCAACAAATTCCCCCGCCTTATGAAATCCCACGAATTTCCGATTTAGGATAGAATTTACCGAATTCAGCTAGTTTGTTACACGTGAATATTTGTAAGAAAGTCTTGACAAACAATGGCTACATTTTCCCAGTGTGAACATGCTAAAACAATACGCAGAGACGCGTACGTGCGCGTGTGAGCGTAAAATCGACGTAACGTTGCCAAGCTCGCGGACCTAGTTAGAGCATCGAGTTTCTGTCAATTTTAGGGTGAAAAATATGAGTATTTTTAACATCCCAATCGTTGGAAAAATTAATGATCAATATTTCTGCTAACTGAAAGAGAAATTAGATATCTGCTTTTTTAGGATAATCTTAATATAACGAATTTATGCACATACGCTGCTGAATGAATATTGTAAGCGAACTATTTTCAATAACGCGGGCTTTTGGAAATGTTGAAATTGTTGAAGAGTTTTATGTTTCATATCGTTTTCGTCAATGTTATGTTAGTGGTTATATTTGTTTTTATTTTTAACAAATTAATAGTATAGTGAATTGGAATTTTAAGAATTAACATGCGTGAAGTCGCTTAACAATGTACATGTATTAGTGTTTCTACATGGAGTTGGCGATAAAAGTACTGTTTGTTTAAATCTAGTCTATAAAATACACATGTGGATTATTTTAACTACTCCAAAACTGAATTTTTCAATTATGAGAATTTAAATTAATCATACAATCTCTACCTGTTAAAAAATCAATGGCCAAAAGGGAAAAAAATAAATATGTACTAATTTCGGATCAGATAATATTCTCGAGCAATTAAAGCCCAGCTTTCAGTTCTTTCAATACTTTGATTATATATTTGTAGCGATCCTTTAAAGGTGTATGGCAGTGTTAGTAAATTAACTACTAACGTTCGAGAAGTTGAAGAATCGCTTAAAGGAGTGGAATCAATGCTCTTCAAAGACAAAATTTTATCCAGTGCATCGCATTCTGCAGCTAGAAGTACATGTAAGAATGGAGAATATAAAAAGGAAGGAACTAAAGAACAAGTAAAAGAAGACGCCCCAAACCCAAACTCAGGTTTCGCTTGTATTTCTGTTGCTATTTAAGAAGTTACATACGATAATTATGCATTATCAGAAGTTCTATCGAAAGAAACAATTTACTATATGTATCTTAATACTGTTCCACTTTTATACTTAAATAAGATTTTCTATTTGTATAAAGGTTGTGGTTTTGATATTATATGGGCATACAAAAAGAATGGAAGATGGTTTGATTTCCCCCAAAATATAAATACGAAAATGGAGAAAGCATATGGCAGAAATAATCAGGGCTCTATGATACTAGAGATCGATGGATATGTGTAAGTGTCTTGTATTTAGTAATTTTTATGCCCCCGTAAACGAAGTTTCGGGAGTATATAGTTTTTGTCGTGTCCGTCCGTCCGTCTGTCTGTTTTGTATATTTTTCTACAAAAACTTTAACCTTGCCCATAACTTTTGATTTAGTGACTTTCATATTTCACCTTGTGACAAGACCTTTCTTTGGGTACCACCAAATTTGACCTTTATACCTGTGGCATTGGGCTTGTGTTTGTGCAATAATTAAAATTCTCATAATTGTTTAGTTTGTGTATACAGCATGTCACACTGCCCACGGCAATAGGTATAGGTCTAATTTTGTCAAGGTGTAAACCCACTCATACTCAAGAATAAAAACATTGAATAAAAGTTCATTATAGAAAAAAAAATCTTATTCAGAGCCAAACATGTATTCAAGAGTACTGGATGAATTAAATGTCCAAAAAACTGCTTCTGGAAATTTTAAAGCTAAATGTAAACACTAAAAAAATGTGAATCTTGCATTTTTGGCAGTAAAAAGGTCACTTCGAACTTTCTTACACATCTTTCTAAATTAGCTCAAAGGTATATATAGCTGTACCAGCAGCTTCGGCACCCACTGAAAAACTTTTTAGAGTGGCTGGAAAAGTCTTCAGACCAAAAAATGTTATTTGAGTGATACTTTGTTAGGTCACGATTACAATGGACTCAAAACTGTCAAACCATTTCGGTAAATAATGCCTTTTGTATCCCAATGCTTTTTATACAACAAATTTGTTCTCAAGATTTTTAAAAAATAAAACTTACGTAATTGAAATGTATTTCATTACATTAGTCTAAGTGATTGAGATTTATTAATTACATTTGAAAAAAAATAAAGTAATTGACCCCAACCCTGAATGTTCAAATATCGATTCTTCGTGGCAAGACCTTTCATTTGCAATCAACACTTTTGACCTTTTGACCTTGGAGAATTCCATACTTAAACTTTAACCTTGACCATAGCTTTTGAACGGTAAGGGCTAGGGCTTTCATACTTCAAATATGTAATCCTTGTGACATGACCTTTTATTGGATATCAACAGCTTTGATCCTTTGACCTTGACCTTTGTGTTTCGATCTACTTTTTACAAACTTTAACCTTCGCAATTACTATTGATCTGTAAGGACCAGCACTTTTATCCTTCCCAAATGTATTTTTTTAGATAAGTCCTTTTTTATGAACCAACAACCTTGACCCTTTGATCTTGACCCCGGAGTTTGTCATACCTTTAAAAACATTTACCTTGGTCATAACGTTTGAACAGGTGGTGTTAGGGTTTTATATTTCACATTTGTATATCTTGTGAAAAGGCCTTACTTTAGGCCAGCATTTCTTTATTTTTAGGTTTACAAACCCGCCGCTCAAGTTTTTGAATTTTCAGAAAAAAATAAAATTGAGAAAAACAGAATTTTTTCTTTCCGATGTCAAATTTGAATCGGGATCGAGATTTCAAATTTACGAACTCGTACTTCCGGTTTAAGATGAACATGGCGGGTAATGAAGGTAGACTTGCAAAATTAGCACTAAAGCTTTGTTTAATGTTAATATTTATCGATAGGAGTGCCATTCAAAACGTTTCACAAGTTTAGAGGACAAATAAAATGCTGACGATTTTATTGCACAATGCCATGCTGGTGAGATAATTATGTATCCGTATTCAAAAGTATCTATCTGTAAATTATTTTCCTCCCACAGGTTTTAAACTGCCCATGGTAGCTTTTGTCAGAGACATTGTTTAAGTGTCTGTTATAGCTTACAGTCTTATAAGCATCATTCTTCATAAAAGGGTGGCTTATGCATCAGATGTAATGAATAAAATTATGGGAGAAGTTAAGTCCATTTGAGGAAGAAATAAATAACAGCCTAAAGAAATAAAATACTTCAAATGTTAAAAACAAGTATTATATACAAATATATACAGGTATGTAGTATCGTTTGTGGCAGCCAGAAAAATATTTTTACACTTAATTAAAAAAAGTTCACCCTACTCCCCAATACTCCCTGTCTGTTTTATGAAAGGAATTATTATTTTTAGGTTTCATGCATATTTCAAAACAATTTCTACACATTTACCAAAACATATTAAAAACAAAAATGAAGATATATTGAAAGAGTTTTGAAAAACTGATTTTTTTTAAATATCTGTATTTTGTCCAACATAACAAAATATGTATATCACTGGCCCCAACTGGTAGATGATGCAATAAACAAAGGTTCTATTTCCCCCTTTGTAATCCTTATGCGTCCAGTGGCATGGAGCCTGTTAGGAGAGCATAAAAAAAGAAGAAAAATTAATGTACAAAAGTCGATAACATCCAAACAATTTTTTTAAATTTCCTTCTCCTACGGGACTTTTACATTCTGATGTTCGTAAACCTAAAAATAAAAAAAAATGCTGGCCTTAGGTACCAACTATTTGATCTGCATTTGAGAAAGCTTAATCTTCGCTATGTTGCCATACGGGGGCATCCGTGTTTCAATCACATCTTGTTAAAACTGGTTTTGTGCGCATAAAATTCATTGATTTTAATAAAAGAAATACTAATTGTTCAAGATGGAGGGCTTTCTTTTCCAATATGAAGATGGAATGTCAGAAAACACATACGTGGATAGAAATTTTAAGAAACGGTATGTTTTATTTTAATATATTTCTTGCAATCCTGATAATATAGTACAAAACTTCAACTGACCCTCTATGGACCACTCTCGATAAATACTTTCCTGACTTTGCTTAAAAATATAATGAAATATAATTAAATACTGCAAACAATTAAAATACAAGAGAGAAAAGTTTTAACAAAGACCCTCCCCCCAAAAAAAATAGAAATTGCAGAGGAGGAATCTCTTGTTTACCGGTCACAACTGTTTTGAGCCCCATAGACTGATATTAATTGCCAAATGATAGGTTATATTTACTGGCTGTAACAATCATAGAATTTACCAAACGCATTCTTTTCACTGATATAATCTGCTCTAATATTCCAAGTTTTATCTGCTGATTTTCACTTATTCCTTTTTAACAAACACACATTTCCAGAACTTCATCTTGGTCGTGTTACTGGTAAAAATTCAAAATTCAAGACTATTGCAATTTATAATTGATTTATAAGGCAATTATTTTCTTTCATTTAATTTTTTGTTTATGATTGTATGATGAAATTTTGTAAAATAACGTTAATAAGTGGAAAAAATTGTCGACTTTCACTTGAATGCTGAAACTGACACAAACTCTCTAAATTAGCCTGTTTAGATGCGTCGGAGGTGAAATGCACTACTTAATTTTATTTATTCTTTCTGAATAAATTTTAAAAATATATTTAAGGAGGAAAAACTAATTTTTTAGTAAATTTTATCGACATATAAAGTAAAGCTCCTGACAATTTCACAATACTAAGTAACTGTTTTCTTTACAGAAATAATTGATTGAGGCGGAGAGAAGAGCTTTGGTGATCAGATATGGTGGAAGTACATTGTATTAGGAACTTAAAACAATCTCATATAATTTAAGAAAGTTATTTAAAATACAAAACTAACCAGAAGTCTCTGTTGAGACGGAAGCTCTACTGGTTTGTACTTATAGCAAAGGAAGAGAAAAGTACTTATGCAGCTGGGAATTTAAACTTTAACAGCAGCAATAAATAGAATAATGATCCTTGATTAGGTTTTTAATGTTCTTAGTGAAGTCTACTTTCATGCCACATTATACTACAATCAAACTAAAACGGTATTTGGAGTAGTATTTTGAGAGTATTTAACAGAAATTTCTATTTTTAGTAACCAAGGCACTAATGTTCATCCAATTCAAAAACCGATATGCAGAATTGTGTATCTTAGTGTAGTCTACTTGTGTGCCAAGTTATATTGAAATCAGACCAAAACTGTCGGACGACTTGCATTTTGAAAGAATTTCACAGGAATTTCTATTTTTAGTAACCACGACAACACCGTTCATCGAAATCAAAAACTGATACACAGAATTGTATATCTTAGTGTAGTCTACTTCTGTGCCAAGTTATATTGAAATCAGACCAAAACTGTAGGAGGGCTAGCATTTTGAAAGAATTTCACAGGAATTTCTATTTTTAGTAACAATGCTAACACAGTTCATCCAAATCAAAAATGATATACAGAATTATGTATTTTAGTGCAGTCTACTTGTGTGCCAAGTTATATTAAAATCAGACCAAAACTATAGGAGGAGTAGCATTTTGAAAGTTTTTCACAGAAATTTCTATTTTTAGTAACCACGGCAACACCGTTCATCGAAATCAAAACTGATCCACAGAATTATGTATCTTAGTGAAATCTACTTGTGTGCTCAGTTATATTGAAAACAGACCAAAACTGTAGGAGGGGTAGCATTTTGAAAGAATTTTACAGAAATTTCTATTTTTAGTAACCACGGCAACACCGTTCATGAATTATGTATCTTCCTGTAGTCTTCTTGTGTGCCAAGTAATATTGATATCAGACCAAAACTGTTGGAGGAGTAGCATTTTGAATTTTTTTTTACAGACAGACGGACGGACGCCGGACGCATTACTATCGTATAAGCTCTTCTGGTCTCAGACCAGTAGAGCTAAAAACAAATTAATCGGTTTGTTTTAAACGTTTTACCAGAAGTCTTTGATGAGACTGGTTTTACTGGTCTGCATGTATAACAAAGGAAAAGTAGCAACAGGCTGTAATAAATAGAATTATGCATTTTAATGTAGTCTGCTTGTGTGCCAAGTTATATTGAAATCAAACAAAAACTGTATGATGAGTAGCGTTTTAAAAGTATTTCTTTATAATTTCTATTTTAAGAAACCATGGCAAGTGTCACATAATATAACTTGTGTGCCAAGTTAACTTGAAATCAAACTAAAACTGTAACAGGAATAATGTTTTAAAAGAATTTTACAAAAAATTCTTAGAGGGGGGTGGGGGGTGGGAAATTATGGCAAAACCATTCACCAACGTCAAAAACTATTAAATCATAAAATAATGCACCTTAGTGTGGTTTACTCTTACACCTAGTTATATTAAAATCATACTTAAATTATAGGAAGAATTACGTTAAAGTGGAATTTTACAAATATTTTTGTTACCATGGCAACACGGGTCATTGAAATCCACATTTGTACACCTGAAAAGACGAAGGGGGTCAATCGCAAAGTAGCTGATGTAAATACAGGCATAGACGAAGACATTAGAAAGATAATGAAAAAAATTCTTGCAACAAATGTTTTAGTTTTGTGGGTTTAATGACTTTAGACTTATTACAGCACATTTCCCCAAAATACAAGTGAAAGCAGCTGAACTCAGTTTCTTGTTTTTGATGGAGTGAAAATGTTAAATTAGTATGGTTTCACTGTATGCTTCTCGAGTCAAGATAAGACTCAAGTAAACAAGGACTTTGTAAATATGTTCTATCCTTTTAGAACTTTTGTGGTTAGTATGATGAGATATAGGCATTGAAATGGGACCAAGATAGTAATCCTTTTCCTATCCGTAAGCCTCTTACCCATGATCATGTGTACACCTGAATCCAAGATGCGCAACAAGTTAGCAGAAAATGTGCTTGATAATGAAGTGCTGTACCTAATGGAATGTTTCAAAGCACACATTAGTCAAACAAGTGGACAGTAAAAACAATATGTTCCCCAAATTTGTTATTTAACATGTTATATGTTGTTGGAATCCACCATTTAAATGCCTTTAAATAATTAATAATTTATGCGCACATTAATAATTCATCAGTAATCAAATAGTCACTATCTTTAATTTTATTGAGGTTTTCAGGAATTTTTCGTAATGTAATATCAACTGCAGTGTTTTCTGATAACCATCAAATATCCCCGACCACGAGTGTTGTGTAAAATATATGGAAATATATTGACATTGAAACGAACAGTATTCAAGATCAAAAGTCCATAAAACGATACAAAATAGGAGCAGAGCATCCCCTGCTGACAGGTCACACCCGCTGTGTGCTCCTTGTCATGATCGGGAAATAACTAAAAAATATCCGTGGTCAATTCAGTGTATCCTCCCAGTAAATAATGCACTAACAATTAGTATGAAAAACGTCACAATTGTTCTGCAAATTATAAAACCCGAGGAGTCCAGAGTAACTCTGTCAGTGGCCCTGGCGAGAGTTAGCGAGACTACAGCAAGATAGGATAAATTATTCACGGAAATGTGACTAGCACGTGGAGACATGGTAAACAGAAAAACTTATGCTGCGTTTCAGTTTTCTCCACCCTATAATATCTGTAGAAATGTACTTCAGTCTGTCTCTTTTGAATTCATTCAAACTTAAATAAGTATTCTCTACGATATAATTTTCTGCAGTAATGAATTAAAAATTCTCTCTGGACAAATATTTTTGCATGGAAACCGGGACTATATATTTTGGCGTCAGAGTAGCAAATGGGGCTCCAAAATGACTTTAATTGACAAATCAGCTAAATGAGAATTTCATAAGTTACTACGTATACCACAGGAATTTTACGCTTGAAAAAAAGGGGAAATCTTATGGCGATCGGCAAGGGCAAAGACCATTTTTCCATCCATAATGTAAATGAAAAGCATTTCTTAAAAATTCTATTATTTTCATGCTCACAATTACAAACAATTCATTTGTTAAATAAATGTGGGAGTCTAGGTTTCCCAAAGTCATACTGCAAAGCGTTTTGGGTCTGTATTAATTCGTTGTACTATCGGTGTTCTGAACTTGACACAAACTAGATTTTATTAACCATTTTCTGGTTAACAACAACAAATTAAAAACGCCTGTGATATCTTTCATAGTTTCTGATCTTTGTATTTTTGTTATAAGAACATTTTTTTTTATTTTGCACTCCATTAATATAGTCATAGATTGACCACGTGTTCGAAGTAAAATGTAAACATGTATTTGGCGTAAACGTTGCTATTCATTAAACGATTATTCAGTTGCTCGTGGTAAGATCCTCTGTGCGCATTAATAACAATAGCCATATAAGGCAAACAAAGTTTGTCAGTGTAAATGATATGACACTTTTTTTTTTACCAGCGAATCGGTCGCTAGTGAGCTCTAATTTTAACTTTTAATTATCACAAAAGCAAACATAAAGAATATTGTTTTGAACACCCCCCTTTTCTATTGAAAATCATGCAAGTCTTGCAGAAGGATCTTGAAACACATTTTTACAGGACATGTTTTTAAAAGACCAGACTAAAACAATTTCCTGTTAACTCCCAATTTTATTTATAAAACCGGTTCTATCATATATATCCTTGAATATACTGATGGTTTCATGTACTGCATCTGGTGTACAAAAAAGTATCTAATTGCAAGTTTGTGACTGGAACTGATCACTTTAGAGTTAACTCAGTGCGGGAGCATGAAATAGTAAGTACACTTTACGTCAAAATACAAACCACATCATTCAAGATATGAAAAATCAAGATTTTACCAAAATCAACAGCTTAAAAACTTACGACTTTTCAACTTTATACACAACCATTCCCAAGAACAAATTAAAGTCCAGGCTTTTTGATATCATTGATAGCTGCTTTTTCAATAAAAATGGAACTCGTAAATTTACTTTGGTCATTTGCAATTTGCAAAATTATTTTGTTAAAACACATTCTGATTGCACACACAAGTACTCTGAAGTTGACATTAAAGAGATGCTTGAGTTTCTGATTGACAATATCTATGTGGTTTTTTAGGGACCAGGTATTCCAACAATCTATTGGAATTCCCATGGGTACCAATTGCGCTCCGTTATTAGCAGACCTATTTTTATATTCATATAAAGCAGAATTTGTGCAAACGCTTATGCTTGAAAAGAGGAAAACACTTGCTGTGGCCTTTAGCTCGGCATTTAGATATATCGACGACCCTAAAAATAAAAATAAATAAAATAAGTAATATTATTTCGTGAAAGATGCTTCTCGCGAAATTACGCAGAGATTATTTCCTCGCGTATAATTAGGAATCTACAGTAGCATCATTAACACGAACATGGGTTTGTGAGAAGCCCCATAAGGCAATTGTTTTAGTATGACATGCGATTGGGCCATTGATTTCACTGGGGAGGAGTTGGAGAATGTTATGTCCAGATTTGCGACAATGGGAAAGTGGAGGATCTTTTCTTGTGTATTGGTCGTCTTAATTCAACATCAGCCAGAGACATTCACACTCACATTAGGGAAATGTTTGAGAACTTTGACCTTTTTGAAGTATTTCAAGAAAAAATGATTGGATTTTGCTCAGATGGTGCTTCAAACATACAAGGCAAGTATTAAATAAAAATTTTTAATATCAAAATAATGATCAATTTAAAGGTACAATACTAAACACTTCGATTACAAAAGACAGACTATGATAGCGTCCCTTTCCGCACTTCTGATTGGTTCAACTGATCACGTGGTATTGTTTATAAACATCCCAGGCACATGTCTACTGATTACGTCAACAATTAAGAAACAGTTGTGTATAAACAAAAATTACATAAATTTACAT